ACTTGCTGAGTTTGGAACAGCGAATGTGTCTGATCGGGACGATCAGACTTAGGTGGAGGGCAGTGTTGCGAAAATGCGAGGCGAATGTCAGATGAAAGAGAGAAGCCGATAACTAGTACGTTCTAGAAACGATAAAACAAGAACCTTCCATAGCGAACAATTCGATGCTTCTACGCTTTCGTCTGCGAGCAGCCGACTGCTATATAAAGGCGACACTCAGCTGCAAGTCAAGTTAGTGATAAAGTAAACTCGTTGGCGTTAACATCAGTAAAGTCGTAAAGTAAACGTGTTGGAAATTACATTTAAGTAGAGTAAATGGTGAAAGTTGATGCAAGTGATTGTAAATAGTAAAGTGCATTATAACTGAATTGCGAATTACTGAGTAAATAAAGGACGTTAGATTAATTCTTTATAACGAAAGAAACTGCAAATTAAGTTGGCGAGTTTTTATTTAACAATCCAGAGATCGTACCCGATTCTTTCAGTTCGTATCAGCTGAGTCGGTACGTTCTTAGCCGTTTGAACTATATTGGCGACTGTCGATCTGCTGCTATCGAATTGTGGCTCCTTAATAAATGTAAAAATTGTCGAATCTATGTAAAAACGCAATTAACTTTTTTCATATTTACAGTAATAAGGGATTATGAGTGATAAGACCATTAAGCTTTTAATTATTGGCGAAAGTGGTGTTGGGAAGTCCAGGTAAAGCAACAGCCTGTTGTAACTATTTCGGTATATAAACAATACACATTTCTTATTTACATTTTTTCGACGTACATACATACATACATATGTACATGGATATATGAAACAATAATAAAAATTAATTTTCAGCCTTATTCGCAGATTCGTTGAGAATAAGTTTGACGATAACCATGATGTTACTATTGGAATGGATTTTAAGAGTAAAGTTGTAAATATTGATGGGATTGAATATAAATTGGCTCTTTGGGATACGGCTGGTGCTGAACGCTTTCGAAGTCTCACTCCAAGTTTTTATCGAAAGGTACTAATATGATCAAATTAATAAAAAAAAGCTATGACAAATAAATCGATTTTATAGGCATTAGGAGCTGTATTAGTGTACGATATCACAAATCGTGAATCTTTAACTAAATTAGAGGCATGGCTTGCTGAACTTGAAAATTATAGTGATAATCCTAACATTGCTACTATCGTTGTTGGCAATAAAATTGATCAGGATCGTGTTGTGAGCCGAGAAGAAGGTTTGAAATTCGCTCGAAAGCATAGAGCTTTATTTCTGGAAGCAACAGCAAAAGAAGATCAATATGTAGCAAACGTTTTCAAAGAAATTGTGGAAAAGGTAAAACTTATTTCGCTATCTATTTTTTTAATTTTTTTTTATTTATTGGCTGTTGGACCAGAATTGCTGGAAAGTCTATAGAACTATTTCCTTCTTAGTAGGAGTAAACTTAATTCTTATGTCAAATATAATTACATTTGGTGATTGGTAGCATTAGAAAGTTCACCGAGTTTGGAAATATATTTTGCATTATATATAACTTCTATATTTATGAAACTAAAGATATTTCTTTATTACATGAGAGTCTTAGAAAATTTCTGAGATGAAATAAGTAAGGGCTTCTCTTAAAAAAAAAACATCAGTTGCTCGGAAGCTGTATATCTCTCCATTGGTTGGAAAACCAAAAATTAGAGGAGTAGCTCGACTGAAAATCACTTCAACGGTAACAAAGCTCTAATTATATATATACATTTATATATATATATATTATATATGAGAATCTAATTTGTGCTAATCTGTCAACGCTAAAATCCTCAATATTAGATAAATGAAATTGGAGCATCTCATAATTTTATTTATGATTTCGAAAAATTATATTGCTCATATAGGACATAAAATATCTTGGTTTCGTTATACAAAAATCGTCTCCTGAAATGTAATTCGCCACAACTATATGTCAAAATCGATCGAGATAAAAATTTTAATCTTTTTGAGCTTTCCCAACTTTGTATTATCATAGTGTGTGTCGGATGAATAATAACAAAAAATTAGCTCATGGACATTTTTTTACTCAATAGGAAATTTTTAATTAAAAAAACTAATATTTATTATCCGATCTTGCTTATTGCTGTAATGGATCTTTTCATGATAAGTAAAGGATATGCAAAATTCACGAGCATAAGTAATTATTGATTTGATTGTGTGAGTGTCATGTTAGTTCAAAGTTCATTCATTGGTTAGTTAAGAACAAAAAGATTTGTCATATGTCATTTATTAAAAAGGCGCTATGACATTTTAGAGATTCTTTGTGATCAAGTTTTATAGAATACAAGGTTGTTGTACCGTTGACGTCACCGAAACAACTTCGTCATATACACAGTGGGCCAGAATTGATGTACAGTTTGTCAAGAAACACTTTATACACTGAAATAATACATTTTTATTTTTTTATGCAAAATGATTTCAAAATATCTTTCCAAATAATATCACTAAATGAACAAAATTAATAGCATTCAACAAAAACAACACCTGCGGGCTAGGGGTTCAAGAATTTATCCGCGGTAAGGCATTCCTGACGTAAGAGACTAAAATCCAATAGTTCCCGCGACAGTCGGGTCTTTATACCGGACCCACCCGGATATTTTATCCGACCAAGGACTGTCACTCCCGCGAGAAAATTAATAACAACAGCTCGTCAAACGCATTAGATACCTTATAACGTCAGGTGATATAATCATACGCTTCTCTTATATAAAAATCTAGATATATGTATCCGTCTAGCTTTTGCTAGTATACTGTAAGCGAATTTGTTATTTCAATTTAACGATTACTAGGGAGTGATCAGAAGATAAATTAACACTGGTTTCAGAAAAATTAACCGGATCGGGAAATTTAATAACAATAAGCTGAACAGGGTAACCGACAAATCAACACGAGAGGCGCCATCCGCATGCCGTACGGAATTTACTGAGTCGTGAAAAGCATGAGTTGTTAAGCGTGGAGATTTGGAACTGCTCAGAAAAACAAATTTTTCATATAGCACAAAATTTGCTTAGCTTGAGTTGAGAAATAATGGTCTAAACTGAATTTAGCTAAATTTTAAATCACCACATCTCCTTATCTCCGAAACAGCTGTCACTTCTACCAGTTTACTAAATATTTATATAAATATATATATATATATATATATATAGCATAGCCGCAAAAACAAATTATAAATTTATTTTTATTTAGATTGTGACATCGGATGATTACAATATGGCACAGGCTGGAAATACCATCGACGTAAATGCTGATGGCGTCGCGGCTGAATCAAACTGTAAATGTTAACATGTATTTAAGTTGAAATTTTGTAAAACTAATTTATATATATGTATGTATATGTAAGTAAAAATAACTCATAAAAATATAAGAAACTGCACATGTTTTATACGATATGTGCAGGTCCATGGTTTGTTTAGGGCTATTCAACAACTCTTTTGTATTTTATTGTTGTGTACAAAATGATTTCAAAAAGTCTCGGAATATGTGTGTTTCCTTTATTTTTTTCGTCACCAATATTTTCTAAATAGAGGATCTGACGAAGTGGCTTGCTCTTACTACTGACGAGTAGGCTCCCTTATATTTAGTGAACTGTGCTGTCTGTATGCACTTTCACAACCTTCTGTTAATGCCAACTGTTTTGCAGAGTCACTTTGTTATTGTTGTAGCACTTCATTAGCCCCGGACAGATTTAATCAACTTAAGTCGCCGAGGTCATCCAATGGGAGGTCCAGGAAACGTGTTGTTTTGACGGGATTGGACCAGAAGGAGAGTTTAACCTGCTAGAGTATGCAGACCTAAGTTGTGCCAAGGTCACGCAGGTCTCTCGAGGCACCTCGAGCTCGTTGTCTGCAATGGGTGGTGCTTTTTCTCTGAGTACGCCAATCACGGGAAGGGAGTCTTTGATGGTATCGACTGACTCCTGTACGCCATCCTGTCCTGCGGTTGTTGCACATCTTGCTGATGATGTCCTTCATGTCAAGAACTCCCTATCTGGTGTGGCTGGGTGGAAGTAAAACTTCTATAAGGAGTATATTGGGGTGTTTCCCACGGTAGCACCCCAATAAGAATTGCTTGCACAGCGAAGCATCTATGCTACGAGCTAATGAGTGGTGCTCCGGCGACATCAGGAGGTTTCCTGTCGCGGCCATGTGAGTGGTGTTTTGGCAAGCCTGTAGCTTCTTCATCTGCGTCTCGTTCGTCCCAGGCGCCTAGATCGGTGCAGCATAGTTTACGGTCGGCCGGCCAATTGATTTGTAAGTCGCCAGCAAAAGTTTCTTTGGAAGTACAGGTCGCCAGAGTATACTGTTTATCAAACCAGCACTCTCAATTGTTATATCGCGCGAGCTTTGGCAATTTCCCACAACTCTTGTAGGGGTGTTATCGTTCATTGAGCAAAATGTCCAATAGTCTATTTGTCTCGACAGCTCCATTCCTCTGCGGTCATTTGACAGGCTAGAATTCCAAAGATCGTGATGCGCGTTAAAGTCGTCCAAAACGAAACGATTTCGCCATTAAGTAGCCCACTTTTATCAGGGCTATATCCAACTGGGCAACTTGGAACAGGAAGAACGTATATATAGAACATCTCGAACTGCCCTGACATTCTAGGTTAGTATTCCTGCGTTTGAGTCGCACGATGTTGTGGAAAATGCGGGGATAGAGTGTGCTGTTGCTGTATTACCCGTTGGAATTGGGGCCGCACTTTAGTTGGCGGTGTTGTTGAATATACGTGGGCAGAGTCCTAAAGCACAGGGCAAAGTACGTAACACTCCACTGAGGGGCGGTGCGCAGGCCAGAGCATGGCCGAAAATGACACCAGCCAGAGCAAGAATTGCATCTGACTGAGTTCAGGTTCCGACCTGACCTGACACACGGAACAGACTGTGAGAGTCTCTATCGATGTATATGGTCTGATGTTTTCCAGCTTTCCACAGAACAATACGACAACCGTGGAAAACACTAAAAACTCATGTTAGGATTGGGAAAGACTTCTCTTAGTCGTTCGATACTAAACGAAGTTTCAGAAAGGTGATTACTTATCGTGTAAATTTATCAGCGTATTTCTGAAGAAAATGTACGAGCTGCAGAGCTGAACAGAGAAGTTACAATCTTCTGTCATCAAACAAACAGTTATTGCATAAGCTACTCCAAGCTCCAATGTCACTGTTGACTGTCAACTTTGGAGTCTTAGATAACGCTTTCTATCTTGGAACCAGTATTAGCACCCACAACAATGTCAGTCTTGAAATCTTACGTAAAATCACTCTAGCCAACACGTGCTACCATAAATAGACTAAGCAATAGAAAATGAAAGTGTTCACGACGAACAAGTCGCTCATCGTTGCCGTCCTTGTGCACAGGCACGAACGATGACAACATCTTTTGATTCGCTGTTATAGATAGGGAATAAATGGCGCAATGTTGTCAACCCGGCTACAGTTGCGTAAGTGGTATCTACGCCAGTAAAGAACAAGAAGAATAAGTGCCATGAGGATACTAGCTAGAAGGATTTGAGCATGATTATAAAACCAGTTCATTAACAAGCTGATCGAAAAAGAGGCTCATGAAAATCGATGCAAATTGGCTGCAGTTTATTCCTATTTTACAAAATAAAACCTCGAGCTAAAAAAAAATGTACTGTTATTCCATTATAATCTGTATCATATTTTGTGTGATAAATAGAATAAAAATCCAAATTCATTTCAAGTATTGGCCGAAGGATGTCCTGCTTAAGTTAATAATAAAGGTAAATTAATATATAATATAAATTTCGTTTATTCAAAGGGTTTTCATTATTTTCAGTGTATTTCAGCATTTGTGTAATAATAATAAGAATACAGTTTTCACAGACACCAAAAATAACTTATCTTTTTCGTGATCGAAAACGTTGCCCTAAGTTTCAAGAATACTTTTCCCGTTTCTTCCAAGGCGAATTTATAGGTGAAGTTGTGACATCATATGATTGCTTTTTCTTCTTTCCATTTCAGCAAATTACACCAAAATGAGAAAGAGGTTTGACTTTTCGAAACTTAGATTACACAAACAAACTACATGGGATTTTTGTTATTGTATTCCTGCTACCACCGTGTGTAAATTTGCCTTGGTGTCTTATTAAGAGTTAATTTTTATAAATATTTTTCATTACTTAATTGTCACATCTCGTAAGTGCAGAATACCGACTCCTCGCCCAGGAAAAAATTAAATAGTGGGGGTTGTTATTAATATTTAAGTGAGTTCAAGGGTATATAACATTTCTTGTGCAAATGAATATTATGGGCGGCAGGGGGTGGAAACGAGAGAGTTTCAAATTTTTAAAATAGCCATATTTCAAGAAATACTTAACCGATTTCTGTATTGCTGACACCAAAGCACAGCAAAAGTTTTAAGCAAAAAAAGAATATTTAAAAAAAAATATTTTTTATAAAAAACTGTTAAATTATAAAAAGAATGCCTTAATCAGATTAATTAAAAAGAGTACAAAATTACCTTTTATTTGATGTACAACTTGTTATAAGGAATCTCTGTACATAGTTTTCTAATAGCAACAACAAAAACATTATTTTCCTTAGAAATACAATATATATAACTGTTCTTGATCAAAGCGGCTAATTGTTTTTAATGCAAATGTGTTTTGGTTACAAATTCGAATTTTAACTTGTCATGATGATTTGTCCTTTTAATTTAACAAGAATTTTTCAATTGTTTGAGATCAATGAGGTATGTAAAAGATTCTATGCCACAATACCATACTTGCAAAAAATGTAGAATTTTTCTCCTTTTTTGAAAAAAATTCTTTGAATTTCGCTGGAAATTTGTACAGTCCTCTTGGTACGAACCAAGACTAAGAGGAAGAAGAAGAAGAGTACAAAATTGAAATAAACTAATCAAACTTACAAAGGGGTTTAACTTAAGAAAACGGTGCAAGGCGAAGACAGAAAAATATATATAACTTTAAACGGTAATTTAAAGATTTTAAGATAATTTTGTGGGCTATAAATGGGGTGTAGCCAAACTTTTGGATATGTGATTACAGTTGCGAGGTTATACTTAATTCCTACTCTTGCGTCCACGTCGCGCACCCTGGAAAACCTGAGCAACCCTTGTGCAAGATGCGGTTACCAACCCGTGTGGGGCCTTGGGTCATGGCTAATCAGACTTATTCGGTTTAAGGGTCTGTTGACGTTTAACTACAGCGTATGTTCACCAGAGGTGCGGCTGTGAGCGGGCGTCAGTCTTGAAGGAAGCGGCCCGCTATATAAAGGTGTAACTTTAGACAAACTCGCCTAGCGAGGTTGTGTGCAGGGTTTGGGACCCGCCACGTAGAAACCATCTCCAATGAAAAACGATACAACGCCTCGGATGAGGTACCACCTTTCTGTTGGCGACCCTCCACCACTCACGATTTCAGTTCATGCACATGGAATGTCCGGTCCCTTAATTGGGAAGGTTCCGCTGCCCAACAGGTTGACATCACCGCCGTCCAAGAAGTGCGAGGACGAAAGCGAGTAAGTTCTTGTACGTTTACTACAGTGGCCATATAAAAGAGCGCAAATTTTGGTGTTGGATTTGTGGTGGGAGAGAGACTCCGTCGTCGAGTACTGGCATTCACTCCGGTGGATGAGCATCTCGCCACAATCCGCATCATATCGAAATTTTTAGGGCAAAGAAAGTATCTTTGGTTCGACTGTTGGACAATTCAGCCTTCAGCGAAGATACGCATGCGCCTCTGTGTATCGAAGAATGCCCGTCAACAAACACAAGGAAAGTTCGACGTTGAAAAGCTGCAATCACAACAGACTGCCCAACGATTTTCTAAAAGAAAGAAGCCAAGATGCGAGAATATGAAGAGCTTGAGAAGCTGGCCGACAAGGGTAATACTCGAAAATCCTACGAGAAGATACGACGACTTAAAGAAGGTTTCAAGACCGGAGCAGATTCTTGTAGGCCACAAAGAGGTGATCTAGCCACTGATGCCTAGAGTATATTGAATTTATGGAGGGAACACTTCTTCGACCTGCTGAATAATAGGGAAAATGGAGAATTCGCTGAAGGTTAACCCAAAAGTTCAATCGATGGCGTTCCATTACCTGACCATGAAGAAGTTCGAATAGCAATTAGCCGCTTAAAGTACAACAAAGCGGCGGGAGCTGACGGACTACCGGCAAAACTATTCAAACATGGCGGTGAAGAGCTGACAAGGTGCATGCATCAGCTACTTTGCAGAATATGGTCGGGCGAAAGCATGCCCGACTTTTGGAATTTAAGTGTGCTCTGCCCAATCCATAAAAAAGGGGACCCCATAGTCTGCGCCTATAACCGTGGGATAAGCCTCCTTAATGTCGCCTATAAGGCCCTGTCGAGCGTATTGTGTGAAAGACTGAAGCCCACTGTCAACATACCGATTGGACCTTATCAGTGTGGCTTCAGACCTGGTAAATCAACCATTGACCAGATATTCACCATGCGACAAATCGTGGAAAAGATCCGTGAAAAGACGATCTATACCCTCCACCTCTTCGTCGATTTAAAGCCGCCTTCGACAGCATGAAGAAGAGCTGCCTTTACGCCGCTATGTCTGAATTTGGTATCCCCGCAAAACTTATACGGCTGAGTAAGCTGAGCTAGACAACACCAGAATCGCAGTCAGAATTGGGAAGGACCTCTCCGAGCCGCTCGATATTAAACGAGGTTTCAGACAGGGTGACTCTTTGTCGTGTGATTTCTTCAATTTGATGCTGGAGAAAGTAATAAGAGCTGCAGAGCTGAATAGAAAGGTAAAATCTTCTATAGGAGTGTACAAAAACTGGCGTACGCCGATGATATTGACATTATCGGCCTCAACAAACCGCGTCGTTAGCTCTGCTTTCTCCAGGCTTGATATAGCAGCAAATGGGTCTGGTGGTGAACGAGGACAAGAAAAAATATCTCCTGTCATCAAACAAACAGTCATCGCATTCTTGACTTGGCCCCACGTCACTATTGACAGTCATAACTTCGAGGTCGTAGATAACTTCGTCTATCTAGGAACCAGCATTAACACCAATAATAACGTCAGTCTTGAAATCCAACGCAGAGTCACTCTTGCCAACAGATGCTACTCTGGACTGAGTAGGCAATCGAAGTCTCTCGCCAAACTCATCAAGTCGCTGCTATATGGTGCGGAAGCATGGACGATGACAGTATCCGATGAGACGGCGCTAGGAGTTTTCGAGAGAAAGTTTTACGTAAGATTTATGGTCCTTTGCGCATTGGCAACAACGAATTCCGCAGACGATGGAACGATGAGCTATACAAGTCATACGGCGAGATTGATATAGTTCAACGCATCAAGAGGCAGCGGCTACGCTGGCCAGGTCATGTGATCCGTATGGAAGCGAATACTCCAGCTTTGAAAGTTTTCGATGCAGTACCCTCCGGAGGAAGCAGAGGAAGAGGAAGACCTCCACTCTGTTGGAAAGACCAGCTAAAGAAGGACCTGGCTGTACTTGGTATTTTCAATTGGCGCCAAACAGCGAAAAGAAGAAACGAATGGCACAGTAGTGTCTACGCCAGTAAAGTAAGTAAGTAAGATAATTTTGTACTCTATTTAATTATATTTATTTTTTAATAGGAAAATAAAAGTTTTTTATAAAAAAATTAATTTTTTTAAACATAAAATATGTAAATTTATGTAAGCTTAATTAAAGGTATTTTAATTACCTTTCTAGCGGTACCACTTTTATGAAAATCGGTTAGTAATTTTGAAAATATGGGCATTTCAAAAATTTAAGAGGTCACCCTTTCACACCCCCTGGCGTCCATAATATTCATTTGCACAAGAAATATTAAACACTATTGAACTAGTGGAGAAGGGGGAATCACGCCTACTAATTAATTTTGACCGGTTCGAGGAGTTGGTATTCTGCAGTTGACCCAAATTTAATGATACAGTTTTTTGGGCGGAAAACTTGACATTAAGAAAACTTGATTTCATCGGATGGTTAGCAAAATAATATATCTGAAAGAATGAAGTATTGTTTAAAAAAAAATTCACATTTGGTGCTCTTCGGCCCCTTAGCACTGGTTTAATCAAAACAGCCCACGCCTTACACCGTAGCTTGCTGTTTGCTAATTTTTGCGACTTTTTGTTTTAGTAAAAAAACGCCAAATGTGTGAGTGCGGCGTCTTGAGTATGTAAGTGCAAAAACGAAAAATGTATGATTTATATAATATTTATTATATAAATGTCAAGTACCGCCCACTGTATACATGACGAAGTTGGTACGATGACGTCAACGGTTGTCGTAACCTTATATTCTATATACCGTGTTTTTACAATATAACAGTGATTGCCCAATTTTTTACATATTACAGTTAATACTTTGCCCTGCAAGAAAGCTTCCGATCATTTGAGCCAACATATGTCAGGAATGCATGACGACATATCCCGTCAGCTCCTAGAACGATTTTCCTATCTCTTTCTTAAGGCCGAAATGACAAAAGTGATGTTTACATTTGTATACGTGCGCGTCATTCTCTCTTCGTTTCCTTGTGCATTTTGTCATCCTTGTCGGACAAACAGAACACAGATGAGTGACAGCATTGATACCAAAAGAAAACAATATGGACGTAACAAAACAGCAGGAGTGCCGTACAAGCCGAACAAATATGAGCGATAGCATTTATGTCGAAGGAAATCAGCGTTGACAAAAAAAAAAACACATAAATCATGACCATGGTTTACATAGCATACAAAAGAAATAACAATACAACAATAAATTCGATAGAAAAATCAGCAAAATATTATAAGCGAAACCGCATATGCAGAAGGAGACTTCAATAGTGACGCAGCTCCTCAGCTTCACGAACGCCTCCGTCATAATCGCAACGCCTTTGAAATATAAAGACGTCTAACTAAAATAAAAATCAGAATGGTTTTAATATCTAAATGCAGTTGTACCTCGCACAGTTTTATTTCATATTTCTAAATCTGCTACTGCGGCTAGAAGAGTAGCGTCCATTACAGTCAAACTGCTCCATTAGCTGATCTTTCCGTACGACATGGAGTGCCCTTAAATAAACAAATGTAAAAAGCAATGGAAAATGAAATACTTAATTAATCCAAAATAGATTATTACCATAGCTTGTAGAGGATACTGATCCACTTCTGTCTACTGCGGAGAAAACGATAAAAAATTGCGTTCTACTCAAAAATAAGAACAAATAAAATCGGATAATCCGTTCAACTGCATTCTTCTTCATTTTGCATGTACTTAGAAGGGAAAGAAAAAAAAATTTGCATATGTGTTAGTGCTGCCCGAAATCATGTGAATGTATTGGTGAAGCCATCAGCTCGTTAGTTAATAGTCAGTAGGGTAGTTTTTTATTTTAAAAATACCAAGTAAACCGATTTGGAAAGAATAAACTAGGAATTCTTTGTTTAATAAAAATGCAGTGTGTTTCATAAAAATTGTTTTCTATATTTTTATTTGTATACAGTTTTTAATTCTAAGCTTAACTTAACTAATTAGCAAAAGTAAAACACATACTTAATTCTAAGGGCGGTCGTATGACCGTTTTTACAATAGTTCTAACTTTTCTTGCCTTTTTTGTCAATATATGAAATAACACTACTTTGACTGCTGTCATCCTCTAAAGTATCAATGGAAGCTTCTAAAAAAGGTTTAGACAAAGAACTTATACGAGAGGAAGTTGTTGGATTCGAAGCCAACGATAAGGTTTCAGATGCTGCCATCCTAAAAGGTGTTGATGTCTCATCTGACGACTCAATACCATTTATATTACTACTTAGCTCCATTCTTGGAGTAATAACTGTCAGGTTCTGATGTTTTATAGCTTCATAAAGTTCATCGATAGATTGATCATTTACACTCATTCGATGCCCCAGATATTCGCTTCTCAGATTTTCGTCATCGAAATCATTTATTTGATCTTCTGTATCGCTTGTATTAGATGACTGATAGGGAAATTCTTCAGTTAATGTCATATTAAGATCATTGTCGGGTTGCGGTTCATATAAATCATGGCTTTTTATGCTAATTTCAGAATTCTGATAGTTGAAATCACTTTCATTAGTTGGACTGACTGAATGTGCTGTAACTGCATGCGGAATATTGAAGACATTATTTTCACTGGCAAACTCAAATTTTCCAGAAAGATCAGTTTTTTTCAGCTTAAGGTTTTTTTGTTTTCTTTGGCTTTCATTAACTAATAAGGAGACACTTACGGAACTACTATTCCATGATCCAGCTTCCTCTTGTTCTAAGCTAGCAATTAACGAGTTATTTGACTGATTTTTTTTTAGAAACCTATTCGATTGCTCGACGGAGTCAACCAGATTATTGAGTGACTTGGAATGTTTGGACCGATGTCGAGTTTTCTGGTCCGTGCTAGTGAACTCGTTAATTTTTTGTTCATGGTCAATGTGAAGTTCTTTGACATTTGGTAGACAAGCGTTCGAAACTTCAATATCTTCATTAATCATTTGCGGAGGTTTCGCCAATGAACTTGAAGCTATCGTTTGTCGCGTTGCATTGGGTGAGGCTACTTCCGAAGTGTTCTGATATAGCGGACATTTTTTATCATTTAAAGAGCTATTACTTTCATTATCGACTTCCTCTTCATGCTCGCTTAGTGTTTCAGTGCAACTTGGTTTGTTATGATTTCTAACCTTAATTATTTCATGCTTTGGTTCTTTTGTCTCGGGTATATTAGTATATATATTTGCAATAAAATTGGAGGAGGGATTTCGTGGAAAACAGTCGGAATTTATCCCTGATAAGTGAAGAGAATTTTCAATAGGTTTATAATACGGAGATTTTGAACCATAATTTGTACATGGATTCGATTTGTAGCATATATTGGTGTTGTTAACCTTACTACCGCCTCTTAATAAGGTAATGGCGTTGTGACGTTTACTATAAATATGTGAGACTTCGCTTCCACTCAGAGATGATATGTCACTCGCATTTTCCAAATAGCCGACGCGGTCAACTTGTCGTTGTAATTCGAAATTATTACGTTTAGCTAAACGCTTTTGCTTTTTGAAAAACTTTCGAGCTACAATTATTTGATTTGGATTATAAAATATTTCGGCACTAGGTATTTCGCATGTCATAGGCACAACAGCCAGACTATTTGGCTTATGTTGGTTATTGATAATCGCTGCCTGATTTACGTTGGACGATACTGTGCCGAGCAAAGGGCAACTGATGTTTTGTATAATTTGATCGTTTTTATGTGAATTACTTTTCATACTACGCACACTATTACTATGATGTCTTGAACATTGACTGTTAGTTCTGGAACGAGAAGTGCTGGCGTCATAGAAAGTTGAACTTTTGTGCGCATGCATTGTTGTTGCTACAGGTGTACCATAATATTTTTTTTGGTAACTCTTGCATAATACATTTGGTAAGCAGAACCTTCTTCCCCAGGCACTTCTTGTGTCATTTCTGGACAACGTATAAAATGTGATTAAAAACAACCCCAACAAAGAGGAGGATATTGCGAAAACTATACTGAATACTGTACTACTTTGCACATTCTCTACACTTTGATTGATAAATATTGCTGCTGATATCCAAGAAATAATGAATAATATAAGGAATATAAAATGAGCTCGCAATTGAGCTACACTTGAGCGCTCTAAATCATCACTTAAACTACTTACTGGATTACTAAGGGTGAGACTCTTGTACTGATCGACACCAGTGAAATTTTGGCTTCCTCGAACTGCTGCACTCTGCTTTAAATCCAACCAATCCAAATCAATATTTTCGGTAACAACAGTATTTTCACCAAACCGCGTACTTTCCAGGATATGTAAAGGTTTGTGGTTCAAATGGCAAAATACACAAAGCATGAGTATTGCGAGAAATATAATAAGAATTATTGCTGGAACTAATAACGCATTCAAAGACGATGTATTGTTAAGGAAACAAAATGAGTATGTAGCATATTCATTGATATTAACGGCGCTCGATATTCCGCAAATAATAGTTCCTATACCCCAGCCGACTAAATATATACTTAAAATAGATTTTTTTAATTTTATATCCTTTGGCACATCAGGTTCAGTTGTTAGTCGATAGGTTTTGGACAAGCCTTTGTATAAGTTACTTAGATATACGCATAACCAAAGTAAGACAGATAATGAAAAATAATGCAGTAAAATACCGACTATTCTGCAAATGTATTGATTTTCCGTTTGGAATATACCAAGTGCAAACACTGCGACCAATAATGAGACAGATAGCCATATATTCACCAGAGAATGTATTTGTTGACGATTCATTCGTATAGCTTTGCGAAAAATTATAAATGTCACAATATTAATCCATGCACAGAAGAAAACCACTAAGCTTCCTATGTATATACTGGTTGGTGCAAGCTTAAATCGTGCTCCTGAGCCATCGGTTGCATAGTCATTGAGATATTCAGTATGTTGAAGAAGCCCATAGTAACCTAGCCGCCTACAAGTGAACAACAACAGACCTCGATGAAAATATAATTTGCGGCAAACCCGAGGATTCCAATCTTTGATATCACTATCCCACCATGCAGGTATTGGGGAACTTATTTCATTATGAAATGGATGTACACGTAGCATTACAAACATTTTTTCACTTATATCGTTCAACGCTTGTAGATCATCCAATTGTTCTGCTACTTTTGCGCCTATTACGACGGATGTAAGAAGTGAGCCTTTTATATCTTCTGAAGAATTATTTTTGTAGCTATTGCTAAGGAGATTTCCATTGCGGAAAACAGAAACCATAAGTCTAAGTGACTTGTCTGATTTGTCGAATAAATTGTTGACTGGAATATGTATGGCAGCATCTATGCGCTTCTCAAACATTGCAAATGTATCATTCGCCGTGCTACATTCAAAACTGCGGCGTCCCATGTTTGTAGCACTATTTAACCAAATACAAGAAATACCGGTAAAGGAATCTACATGAATATTGAAGGAGTCCAAAAATATATTCCAAGGAGTAGACCAAGAATCTAAATTCAATTCTTGAGATGAAGGAGGTAATGACTGAATATGGGACGAAGCTGTTTCAACGATATGCAACATGTTAAGGCTAGTTTGGAATTTAGCCTGCGCCTCTTCGAACATAAATTTTGGCAACAATAAGAGCTCAGACACTATGCTTAGGATAATGTATGATATATCTTGATGGTACGGTACATAGTCTATGTATTTTTTAAGTGCACGCGTTATAAATTCTAAGTCCACTGAATCCTTAACATTATTTAGGTATATTTGAGTACGTGTGAAATTGTGAAGGCGTTCAGCAATCTCGAATGCATTTTTTTTTGTTAGACTCACATTCATTTTTGAAATTTGCTCTAATATTCTTGTAGTTTCACTCACAAAAGGGCAAAGGCTCGTATTTAGATTTTCCCATTTTCCGTATTCATTACAACTATATGTTACTAAAAGATTCTTTTCTTCATTTTCAACGCATGGTTGACTCACTATTTGACCTCGTATTGTTTGAGGCCAATAATAAGTTCCCTTATTGGTACGTACAACTGACACATTACAATAAGTAGTTTCTTTTGAAATGACAACAACAGCAATTGATTTCGATAAATTTGCTTGTTGTGAATTCAATGTACACACCCATTTCCCGGAATGCTGCTTAGAGATCCGTCCAATTCTGAGCACAGAATTAAGTATTCCTGAATCAGAGATATGCTTTGTCGAGATATCAACGTCTCTAAATACCTTTTCTGGTTCTTTGTATACCATATCATTGGAAGAGTTTGAACGTTGAACCTCTTCTGACCATCCCCAAAAGATGTGTGTTGTTGAAATATCTTCCGATTCGCGAGGGACTTCGATAGCGACCCGAGGAGCTCGACATTTCATTACAAGTTCGTCTCCTTCGAAAGCTACCTGAAAGAAAAATAAGATTTACTTAATATTTAGATATTTTACTTTGCATATTGCATTAAAATAAATTTGATCAGTTTAGAATAATAGCAATCTGTATAATTGACTTCAAAGGAGTTTCAATTTGATAACGGAGGGATTTCTTATATAATCCAGGTTAAAATTCGTGGAGATATTGTGATCTCGCGTATACATGAGTATTTACACACTGTGTATTTGTTGGTGTTGTTAATTTTGAACTAGGCTTCATACATACACACATGCTAATACATACATAAATAAATTGTTGTTTTTCTTTTCTCAGTACATACAAATTGAAACAGGATGCAGATGGACGGATTATTAGGAAGGGAGTACTAGACTTCAAGGACACGATCCAGCAACACACACAACAACCGCTGGACAGGACGGCGTATCGACAGGCACTGAACGCCATTCACCAGGAGTCAGTTAACACCTTCATGAACTCCCTTCCAGTGAATGGCGTACTCGGAGAAATACCACCACCCATAGCAGACAACGAGCTCGAGCTGCCTCGAGAGACCCGCGTGACCCTGACACAACTTAGGTCTGGATATTGTAGTAGGTTAAACTCCTACCTATCCAGACTAGACCCCAGCATACCTAACGTATGCCCGGCATGTGGAGAGTCCCCGCACGACACTAACCACCTCTTCACATGCCCCCTCAAACCTACTCATCTAACACCCCTCTCCCTTTGGTCCAACCCCGTCGAAACAGCTCGTTTCCTGGGCCTACCTTTAGATGACCTCGACGACTTAGACTAACTCAAGCCTGTGCCTAAGCGGGGTTAGCCGCTACAACAACAACAACAACGGATTATGTTTTATTATAATTTTGTATTTCCGCAATTTTTCTTGTTTTCTTTATGCTTTGCGTGAAATTTCAGTATAAATAATCAAAATAATCCTGCATGCGATTGCGCAATCATTAAATCAGCAGTCGGCTATGTATGAAGAAGACACTAGCAAATCGAAAAATATTAGCGAGGTAAAATTTAAATAGAAAAATATTAGCTGATTCAAACGTTTCTTTTCATTTTATTTAGACGTCATTCAAGATCAAGAGAGCCATGAAGATGAGAAAGACTTCGGAAGAACTATGGAACCGAGTCCCCACGGAATGAGACCAGGAAAACACAATCCAAATTTAAGGACATCAACATGGAGTGTCTTCAAAACGTATTTAAACTTGCTTTTATAACGTAATTCTTTCCCCTTAGATTCTTAATGACTACATAAGTTTGTATTTATTTCGCCGATCGTACCAATTAGGGATGCTTTTATACCTTTCACGAACTTGAAATGGTATATTAAGTTTGGTCCGAAGTATGTACATAAGTTCCAGAAGAAGAGAGAATTCATACCGATATGGTCAGAATGACGAGTTGAGTTGATTTAGCCATGTCTGTCCTTACGTATGTTTGGACGAATACGACTCCCTAAGTTTTTGAGATATTTTGACCAAAAATAGCATATACGTGTATGCTTCGCTGGGCAAGTGATGCTCCGGCGACATCAGGTGGTTCCCTAACGCGGTCCTGGGGGCATATTATTAGGTTTCTTCCCCAAAAGAAACCGGTGTTGAGAATTTGTTTGAACAGCTTGTGACTATTTAATTGTATCTTTTCTTTTGACAGTTCCAAGCTGCCACAGCTTCCTTTAGAAAAATTTTAATTTGGAGAGCACAAAACAACATTCTCACCATACTTTACTTTATTAGTGCCTTAAAGAAAAAGAAGTAAAGAAGTACAGGATGCTAAAAGTTTTTATAATTTGTATGGTTATAGGGCCTTAAAGGAAACACAGTATCGAAGTTGGATCGTCACATTCTTTTTTTGGAAGATTTTTCACTTAAAGATAAGTCACGCTCAGGTTAACGACGTAAAGTTGATGATGACGATATCAAGGTTTAATCAAATCGAATCGTCAGATTGGAGAGAAGTTAAGTATACTAAAATTAACCGGTGATAATCATATATGATGTCTTGGGCTGGTCCATGACACAACTTAGGTCTGGATACTAGAGAGTCTCCGCACGACACTAACTACCTCCTCACATGCCCCCCTCTCTCACTGGTCCAATCCCGTCGAAACATCAAGTTTCCTGGACCTCCCGTTAGATGACCTCGGCAACTTAGATTAACTAACCTGCCCAAGGAGTTTCGAGATATAAAAGTTAAACAGTAATGGGGTAGTGTCCTCACCCTGATATTAGTCAACTAACTGAATTTACGGTGTGAACACGGAGATATTGAAACCGACTATGATGTTGTCGAAGTAATACGAAAGAATCGGTGTCCCAATGAACCATTGGTTGTTGTTGTTGTAACTGCAAATTATTCCCCGAATTGGTTTTCGGGGACTATTGCGGGAGTGACAGTCCTTGGCCGGATAAAAATCCGGGTCGTTCTGGTATAAAGACCCGACTGTCGCGGGAACTATTGGATTTTAGTCGCCTCTTACGACAGGCATGCCTTACCACGGGTAAATTCTTGAGCCCTTAACCCGCAGGGGTCCGAACCATTGGTAGCGTTGCGTAGTAGTTCGAATATCGATTTCTCGCTAAATACACTTAGGAATTTTTATTTTATTTATTTGCCGGCTTTCTCTTAAATACTTTAAATGTGCATCATCGAACATAACTGTATATTTTTTCCTGGACTTTCACACCCGCATGTTCCCCAAAAACTACTTTGGGAAATATTTTTTTGGTGGCTATAACAGCAACAACAAATAGACGACGAGGAGGAAAACTTTGTTTAATAATATTTGCGTATAGTGATAATTTATTAACTCACCTGATTGTTTATTGGTAATAGCTCTAAAAGTGTTTGTAACGGAGATTCGCAGTGTAAGTCCACTCCAACTTTAAGTTTTTTCAACAATGTACCTTTAAAATATATAGGAGACTCGCATTTTGGTGATGGTTGTAGTTTTATAAGATGACTATTAGTCCACGCTAATAGCCAAACTAAATCACAATTACAAACTAATGGGTTATTTGAGACATCCCTGTGAAGTAATTACAATTAATAAACGTTTATATATTTATATTTAATGAATTCTGTATACTTACAATTGTTTTAAATTTTGCAATAATTCAAAAGAACCAGAATATATATGCCGTATCGAGTTGTTACTCAATTTTAAACGCTCAAGATTAGGCAAAGCTCCTCCAAAGGTATCTTTATCAATTTTTCGAAACAAATTAGAAGAAAAGTCTAAACGTTTCAACTGTGTAAAATTTGAAAAATCTTGACTTTGTGCTGTTGTGAACGCATTATTACTTAAATCCCTTCAAAATAAAAATTTTATTACAACAAATTCTAGACACAATCAAAAATATTCTTACAGAGATATAACGAAAGGTGCTATTTCTGTCAGATTTATTTCCTCCCATCTCGAAATCGATGTTTCCGCAGTACCTCCGCATTTTATTCGAATCAGGGAACTATTGTCTGAGGAATCTTTACATTGGCAATTTGTAGGACATCTACTTGCTGCGTCAATTAAATATGTTTCCATTTGCCAAAATATTGGCATTAACCAAACACAAAAACTAGAAAGGAGCATTTTCCTAAGTTTCGGAATTCGCTTACACAATATAACTTATAAAATCAACAGCCCGAAATAGCATCCTTCTTTAATACACAATTCTCGATGCTAAGACCTCGCAGCCATTGAGTAATATCGCTTAAGTAAATTTCACATCTTTTTATTGACAGGTTGCTCCAATCTTGATATATGTACCGCTTTTCAGAAGTGAATAACTAACAAATATGAAAATGTTTACCAGCACAATTTATTTTGTTTAAGTATACTACAAACAATAACAATAAACATCAACAAACTTTTCTAAAATATGATTCAATGTTATCGAATAACTATCGCTACTCACACTTATTAACGACTTTAGTCTTAAGGTGAAACAGAATAAATACCACAGGATTACCCTGTAAAAATACTTTTGGCTACATTGGTGGCCGAGTTGAGTTGAGTTGATGCGGCTACTGCTACCAGCACACGTAGGCTAATAGGCCCATTGTGATACCGCTGAGGCTCCTACCTCCACCTTCTCATATGATCGAACCATTTCGTGTGCATTATAAAGGCAACGAAATTTCTAATATTCGCTGAGGCTATCTCAGGGAAGCAATCGAAGAAATGTTTCCCAAGAAATTTGTATTGCGCGAATGTCAAGGCTAGACAGTGACAGAGGTAGTGCTCGATAGTCTCCCCATCTTCTTCATCCCTCCAGCTGCGGCAGATATATTAAGAATGATATCCCATTATTTTCCTGTTAAAGGGAGGGATAAAATGTTTGGTTTTTTTCGCGCCCAGCTTCGGCCATAACTGCTTTGTCACGTTGCGCGTGATCTCGGTCAGCCATCTAGAAAAGCCAGTTTAGCCAGAGTTATGTGGGTAGAAGGGTTCCTTTACTTGTTAGTTCGTCCGCCATACAGTTGCCTGGGATGTCCCAGTGTCCAGGTAACCAGACAACGGCAGTGCTATATTTAGTAGAGAGGTTGTTGAGAAAGTTTCTATATTTTATGGCCCCTTTAGATGTGGTGCTTTTACATTGGTGAGATTTGATTGCAGCTTGACTGTCGGAGTACATTGTAACCGATTGTTCTGCTGCCATAAAGTTATGCAACCAACCAGCAGCCTCAATGATTGCAAAGAGTTCCACCGCTTCTGGTGGAGGATGGAACTTCGATATAGAGGTTGAACAGTAATGCGAGAGGACATCACCCTTTGGAACCCCATGTTTAATCAGCCAGGTAGCCCATGATCCACCTCTTAAGCGCCGGTAATGAAGATACCTCAATGCCGGTTGTTAGCACTGAATGACCGGCGATGTTAAAAGCTTTTTACAGATCAATTGCTAGCATGACAGTTCCGGCTCAGGGCCGGTTTTGGTTAAGGCCATTGAATGATGCAGTGTGAAGAGTCGGCTGGGAAAGGTGGTCGAGATAGTATTTTGCTTTCAGACGTAAGTCGTCAATACCCTCGCCAGACGCCAAAATCGAGCACTTTGTTTAATATTCCTGAGTTTTGATGTTTGACCCCTGAACTTTACCGATTATTGACGACTACTCACGGAGTCCATGATCAACCTCTTCAACCGCGGCGGTAATGAGGGTTCTTTAATGTCCGATAGTAACAGTTAATGGTTGACCGTGCCAGATGCTTTATGCCGTTAAGTGCTGTTGTGGTAGTGTGAACTTTGCGGATGCCATACCAGGCGATGCCGAGCTCGAGATATTTAATATATACATTCCTCGAGTTACAAGTTGTCCAGTTGGACACAGCCCTGATATAGGTGGCATTCTAGCCTGTCAAACGACCGTAGAGGGATGGAAGTGGCAGAGCGTATAGACTATTCGACATTCTGCACAATCAACGATAACACCCCCCCCAGAGTTGTGGGAAATTGCATAAGCTCGCAGGATGTAACATTTGCGAGTGCTGGTGTAATAAATAGTGTAGTCCATCGACTTCTACTGACACTAGCATCGAACCACTTACCCTTATAAATCTCGATTGACAGGCCTCCTGACTTTGTTTCCGCGGATCATATTCACGGAATCACGGAACTGCAACCTCTCCTCTGGGGCAACCTCGCCTTCAGTGCTCTTCCCACTGCATTAGACGTCACCACTGGTGAACGTTTATTCCGTAGGGTCGTCGTGACCGCTGCCGGCCGCTTCATCCCGGCGGGTCGAACTGCGGAAATCCGCCCAAATTTTCCGACAGAAGCGGCGGTATTAGCATCCAGGCGCGACACCCTCCGAAGCTCCGATCCCGGGAATCCCCTAATCCGATCACAAGTGGAAAAAGTGGGAGGAGCACCTAAGGGCCTGCAACCTCTCCTCTGGGCCAACAAACCCCGGGACTATAGTCAAGTCGTTGTCAAACCCGACGAGACGCTATGACCGGGTGGAAATTTCACGATCACGCCTCGTCAGACCCGAAGAGATGCGAGAGTTATTTTGGCCGATTTTTTACACTGCATCCATCGGTAAACAAGGCGAAGGCGGACGTGTAACCCGCCGTATACCCAAACTGCAAAATACCAGGGGCTCGGCGGGAGGGCGAAAACCTCGAAATTCATCGGCCCCGACGGAATAAGCATGCTAAAACGTCTCGGACCAGCGGGAGCAGAACTTTTCACCAAAGTCCTCAATTTGTCTTTGACCACCCTACTGATGCCTAACGTATGAAAAACGGGCAGGTTGGTCCCGCAACTCAAGCCGGAGAAACCAGCCTGCAAAGAAGAATCTAATCGGCCGATTACTCTCTCACCTTTACTCACCATCTGCGTGCAGCAGCACATCAGCATGGCTTCCGCAAAGTGCACAGCACCCCAATAGCACTAAACGCCATAAACACCCAGATAGTCAATGGCCTTAACCAAAACCGTCCCTGGGCGCGACCTCCCCTGGTAGCACAGGATCTGTCAAAAGTTTTTGACAACGTCAACCATTCAGTGCTACTAACGCACGTTGAGGAATCCTCATTACCGCCGGGGTTGCAGAGTTGACTACCTGAGTGGTCGATAATCATCGGTAATATTCCGAGGTGAAACATCGAGGCCCAGAAAAATTAAACAGGGGGTTCGGCAGGGTGGTGTCATCTCCTCGCTACTGTTTAGTTTTTACGTTTGGAAACTCTCTCCTTCACCTTAAAGAGTTTCTGTAACCTCGTATGCCGATGATTGCACGATAATGGCGTCTGGCCAGGATATTGATAACGTCTGTTCGAAAGTGAGCTGCTACCTTGCCGATCTTTCTCAATTCATCAATGCGCGACAACTAAAAATTCAGCCGACCAAATCCTCGGCAACCCTCTTCATCAGCTGGACGAAGGAAGGAGGGCTTGAACTAAATGTGAAGGTCGATGACGTAAAAATTTCGACGGTAAACAACCCAAAGATATTGGGAGTGCCACTAGACAGCATTCACTACTCATATAACCGCAATTGCCGCAAAACTCCAGAGCCGCAATACAATGCTCAAAGCGCTAGCCGGAAGCACCTCGAGTAAAGACAAGGAAACTTTGCTGGCAACATACAAAGCAATTGGCTGGCCGGCCGTAAACTATGCTGCACCGATTTGGGCGCCGGGGACGAACGAGGCGCAGCCCTGCCAGAACACCGCCCTAAGGACTGCGACAGGAAATCTCCTGATGTCGCCTGAGCTTCACTTGTACAGTGAAGCATCTATGCTACGAGTTAAGAAGCAAACTGCTTTGCTGTGCCGCTTCCTGCGGTAAAATCCCAATAGGAACCTAATAGAAGCTTAACCTCTACATAGGCACATCGGAAAGGGAATAATCGACTAAAAAACACCATCTAGCAACATGTACAGCAGCCGCTGAACAGGACGGCGTGGGGACAAGCACTGAACGCTATTTACCAGGAGTCAGTCTGCGTGACTCTGGCACTGGATACTATAGCAGGTTAAATATTTACTTATCCAGACTCGACCCCAGCATATGTTGGATATGCCCTACATGTGGAGAGTCTCTGCCCGACACTAACCACCTCCATGTCCCCTTACACCGACTTATCTAAACCCCCCCTCCCTTTGGTCCAATCCCGTCGAAACAGCTCGTTTCCTGAACCTTTCATTAGATGACCTCGGCAACTTAGAATAGTGAAACCTGTACCTAAGCGGGGTTAGCGAACCGCTACAACAACAACAAATTTATAAATCTTTACCCGTGGCGACCTATAGCGCTTTACCACCGCTGAAGAGATGTTCGGTTTGTGATGTGCAAAGTTTACACTGGAATTCCTCAATATCAGAAGCGCAGCCAGAATTGGGACAGACCTTTCCAATCAGATCGTAACCAAGGAAGGCTTCATTATTTTTGAAAGATTTGCATAAGATTTGTCTTTTGCGCATGTTGTTCAAATAAATGAAGCACCCCGCATTTGAAAGTGTGTTGGTGTAGGAGCCTTTGGCGTGTTTTGGTTTCGTTGGGTATTTATAATTGGCTCTAAACAGCAAAGAAACGAGAGACGCGCTTTTTTATTCGATTATTATTTTATAAATGCATTCGCCCCTCAAGAAGAAGAAAATAAGTAAGCAATTTGTTCCTTTTGTATACAATTTCAATATAGTTAAAAATCTATCCTTAATAATTAGAAAACGATTTTAAAAACAGTAAATTTTAGTTTAAACTTGAATATTTTCGTTACGAGGTCTTTTAAAACATACAAAAGTTCCTGAAGGTTGTTCAATAAAATAAAATATGTATGTTACAAAAATAAAACGTTTCTATTTTATTACTAAAAACATGATGGTATAGCATCAATGACATGTGTAATGGCGATATTTTGGTCAGAACTAAGTGTCTCAGTTTTTAATAAATCCTCAAGTCTCGTTAAACACGAAAGTAAAGGCGCAGCTTTTTCTGGAATCATTCGACTCAACACCCTAATCCATGTACTTTTTACCACTTCTTTTCTTTTAAGTAGTATTCGAGATAACATGATGAAATCGTTAAGATGCGCCAATTCGATCATGTGGGAAATTAAATAACACAGCTTTTCTTGTAATTGATCTCTATGGTTGTATTCATAATAATTTATTAAATTGTGAGATTGTTCAACAGCTGTTAATGCTGTGCTCCAGATTACTTCGTAGTATTCACCGTAATACTCTCGCCTACATATATGAATCACAGCCATAGTGGCATTAATTTTCACCTTATAATTTGGATGCCCCGATATAACATCGCAAACAGCGGTATAAAGTGATGATTGCCATTTCATATCATCATTGATCGTTGAATACAAAAATATGTTTTCATTTTGTAACATATTTCCAACTGCGTAACACGAATTCCATTTGACTTTTGATGTTCCAGAAGATCTTATACCATCAATTAATTTGATTATAGCACATTTGATCAACGTTCTATTTGATAAAGTAGAAAAATGTTTCTCAGTCAGTAACCGTAATAAATTACCTAACGTACGCACAGCGTTGCATCTCACTTTATCATTATCGTTACAAGCTTCTGTAGAGTGCTGAATCAACTGCCATAATATGCCATCAGAAATGCGTTCATGGTAGTTATGGTTAATATTTTCTAGTAAAGAATCGGTAACATTTCCCATAGACCAAATTACTTTTATACGAATAACCATGTTTCCTTCGCCAGATAAACGTAAAATTAACTCAGCAGTGTTTTCAATAAATACAAGATTTAAGCGCATTGAAGGAAAGGTAACGAAAACAGATAGCGTGCGGACAATAGTAGCTCTTAATTGCACATCTTCTGAATAATCACAGCCAACACCGGATAAGAAACTAAGTAAGTTAATACGAATAAATTCTGGCAGAGTTTCGAAAATGCTTGCACCAATGTTAGAAATCGCATCACACAAGGTAATCTTTATTGCAACTGTTTCATTTTCCTTTTTGATTTGATTTGTAATTATTGGTAGTAAATGAATCCAGAAACATTTACAAATACCTATATTATCCTCACTTAAATTGGTTTTTAAAAATACACCCATGTGATAAGTACAAGCTTCCAAACATTTTGATCCGTACAAACGAACTTCGAACTGTTCGTCGCAAACTGCTTTTTCTATCACAAATGCTACTTCTTCTAAGTTGTCTTTTAAAAATAACTCAAAGTGAGTTGACATCGCTGTTAGCAAGTGAATACTTTTAATTCGTAAAGGAAGAGGAATTTTTTTTTCACTTGGCACGCCTAATTGAAAACTATTTTTTAAATACGTGAGAACTTTCGAAATCAGCCACGACGACTCAAAACTTGAATATTGGACATTTTGAACCGTGGCCTTGTTGGGTTTTTCTGCAGCTGTCGGGACTTCCGAAGATTTACAATCAGTCAAAGTTATTTTATTTTTTGATATACCCAAAGCGTGAAGAGCGTTCGGAGAATTTTCAGCCTTTATTAATAACATCTCCAGTACCGTTAGGGCAGAAACTTGAATGGTGAAATCTTTGTTTATTAGAAGACTTTTTATTCCAGCTACGAAGTCATAAATTATTTCATATCCAAGTTTAATAAGCGGGGTTACATCAACTAAAGCAGCCAAGCATTTTAATGATTGAATTAAAACATGTATGGATTCTTCATTATTTATAACATATGTTAGCGATTTATAAGCTGCCAAAATTGATATTCCCAACATTTGAGAAAATGGTAAGAATGATGATGTTCGCTCTTTAAATTCAGCTTGGCTCAATAATGACCTTAAGCTTAATAAAAGTTCCGTAAAAACTTGTAACGCGACACCGCGGCATTTTGAATTTAAATCCGATTGGCACACAACAAGGATGTCATTATAACAAAGGCAGTTATCCTCCACATGGAAGGGCAGTATTGACTGCCAATAAGAATAAAGGACCCGTTTTTCAACTGACCTAATTATATCACCGAAAAGTGCTATTGAGGCAATACGTATTTTACTGGATATTTCACCGTTCATTTCATTTTTCTTCTTCATATCATATTCCAATGGATATTCACACTTTTCCAAAGTAGACTCCTTATAAATAGAATCAAATACAGGATTTAAAATTTCTTTGCATTTTTTTTCCCGATTTTTCTTCGGCTTTGTAAATTTTCCTCTTATCTGTTGATGTGCACTTGGTTCGCATGTGTCAAGTTCATCTGATGTGTTTTGAATATATTGAGATGGCTTAATTTTCTTCGGACATCCTCCACTTATCTCTTTTATTTGAATGCCAAATGACATATATCCTAAAGAAATGCCCAAAAGTTCATTCATGTTGGGTTCAATATGATCCTTGCAAATGCCAGTTAGCTTCTTTAGTAAAATAAGTGTATAAAACACAACATGTGGGCACTGACTGGAGTTCAAGTTTGAGTATTGTGTGCGAATTAAAGATTTCATTAGGGCTATGATAGATGCTTTAAATGTAGGAGAAATTTCTTCCTTCGGCAAATCTTCAAATATTACATCCGCACATTCCAAAATATGTAGAGTATGATTATTACATTTTACTACTTCAATTTCGCTTTCAATACGACTGTAAATAAACGACTGCGGACTGAATATATACTCGAAAATCATTGTACGATATTTGGGATTACATTTGACTACTTTTGTAATTGCTTGTAAGGCATAGCCCTCCGCACTTTTATTTTTTGTGAAAACTTCACAGAGCCAGTGTAAAAACTTATTTATTCGCTCATCATCCTTGCAATGATCCAGGAAAAGCTGCGTATCAAGCAGCTCGGAAATAGTTATTGGAACTATTTCAGAAGTCACATCAAAAAAAGTTATTGACTCAATGATATTTAGATATTCTTCTATGAAAATATTGGATTGCCGATCAAAATCGCAACTTTTTATCAGTTTTATTTGGTTTACAACAGTTTCGCTATCCATTTTACTTTACAAACAAATAATAAAGTTCCGATATCGATACTTCGACTTAAATTCTTGATTTTATTTACAAAGTCCGATTGTTATTATTTCGATACGTGTATTCATGTACCAGACCCGAATACATTGTGTGCAAACCCATATTCAGACATAAGTATGTAACGATTTTTCTACCTAAGCTTCGATGATTTTCTAAATTGTTCGAGTTCGTACGCAGTTAACTAACTACAGCGTTAGTTATGCAACTCTCTATAAACAAACAATTTATTCTCTTGTAAACACAAAGCTAAATCCGTTTTCTTCTGTACTGATGTAGTAATCCCCGAGCACTATACTTATCTGAACATATCCACTTAGTCTTCACGCACTTTGGAAGATGTAGTTATCGGTCTCTTCCCTTCGTCTGATATTCGTATTTTCATTTCCGCCTCACTGCACTTCACATAAGTCTGGTCGTCTTTATAGCTTCGTATAGACCTTCGCAACTGCACTGCTGCTTCGGAGTCAATCCACTCCTTGCTTTAAGATCAGAACGCAACATCTGTTGCGTTACTATATCAGGCGTTTGCGCTGCAGTTCATGTATATTTCTTAGCCTCAGCTTCAGTGCGTTTTTATTCAGAAGCGCTTTCATGCTGCTGTGCGAAGAATCGGAACTACAATTTAGCGACACTTTCATATCGCCGTTCTCCATGAATCTTTTCTTTAAGCCATTCATCCCATCACCAAGGAAAAATTGTTGTTGTAGCGGTTGCTCTACCACGCTTAAGGTCAAGCTAGTTAGTATAACTCACCGAGGTACGTCTTAGATGCCTCTAGGGCTTATAAAGTGGTGGTTAGTATAGTTCGGGGACTCATCATATGCAGGACATACGTTGGGTATTTTGGGGTCGAGTCAGGATAAGTAAATGCGCCAATATTACGCGGGCCTCTCGAAGCAGCTCGAGCTGTGGGTGGAGACTTAACTCCGAGTACGCCATTCACTGGAAGGGAGTTTTTGAAGGTGTCAACTGGCTCCCGTTTAATGACGTTCAGTGTCCTGTAGAAAGTAAACACCAACTATGACTCATAAGTATTTTTCGGTCCCATAAATTTATGTAAAACTGTCGTTCACTTCAGTTACTGGCCTCAATCCTGTTGGCCTTTGTCCTTTAACAATCAATTAAGATCGATTGATGGAGTATGATTCGTCTGTTGTTGTTGTTGTTGTTGTAACCGTAAAAATATTCCCCAACGTACTTTTTGGGGAACCAGCAGAAACATCAAGCTATCAAAAGTGAAATTGAAGTGATTTTTTGTTATGAGATATACATGGATTTTGTCAAGTGTTTAGCAAACACCACTTGTTTGCGAATAAACATGATAGCGACTGCAAACACAGTATTTACGCTTGGTGGAAACGGCCTATTACACGGAATTCCCAACATCAACTTTTCTGGCCACCGGTCTTTTTCTGTAAGCACTGTTTCCCCTAGGTCAGCAGTGCAACCTTTACTAACACTACATCCAAATCTCATTGTTTTGTAATTAGCATACGGATATGTTACTTACTCATTTTACACAATCTTTTAGGAAATATTGTAAAGTTTTATTGTCTCATTTTTCACCTTTGCAAACTTTTCAACGATAGACATGTTCGCGAACAGCTGATTCTAAAGCAAATGGATTGCCGATCAGATATAGTATAGATGCCGCTTCAGTAATTCGATACACAGCACAAAGTGTCCCTTTCAGCATCCATAATACACTGGCTACGAGTCAGTAATCAAAGCGGTAGCATCGGACTTTCACATTTAAGCGACTTACACCATGTGCGCTGAATAGTACTTATACGAGTATATATTGGCCCAGTAAAGAGTTCCTTCGGTTTTTTATTAATTTTTCAAAATATAATAACTTTGTGTACATTTGTCCGATCTAACTCGGAGAGCCAATTTTCACAGGCCTCTCTTGAGGCCTACTCTTCACCATTAAGCGCGTTCCCCATGGACAGGAAACGATGGTAATAACTTGGTGCCAGGTCCGAACTATAAGGTGGGTGCATTAAGATCTCCCATCCGAGCTCCTGGAGCTTCTGGCGCGTCACCAAAGACGTGGAAGGCTTGGCGTTGTCCTAATGGAACATAATTCGGCGTCTGTTGATCAAAGATGGCCTCTTCTGGATGAGTGCTGCCTTCAAGCGGTCCATTTGTTGACAGTAGTTGGCCGAATTGAGCGTTTGGCCATAGGGGAGCAGCTCGTTGTAGATGATTCCTTACCAGTCTCACCAAACACACAGCAAAACCTTCCTGGCCGTCAATCCGGTCTTGGCTACCGTCTGGGCCGCTTCCCCGACCTTTGACCACGACCGCTCGATGTTGTTGTAAGTTATCCATTTTTCATCACCACTCACAATCCGCTTCAGAAACGGATCGATTTTGTTGTGATTCAGATTGCAGAGAGAAATTCGGTCCATCATGTTTTTTTTGAGATAATTCGTGTGGCACCCAAATATCCAGCTTCTTTTTCAATCCAAGGCAAATGGTTCCAAACGGGTTTCTGGCTTATCTTTAGTTCCTCAGCAACTCACTTGACGGTCTGTTTCTGCTGTTTCCATGATTTTATCGCAATTTTCGACGACAGGCCACCCGACGAGTGGTGCATCTTTGACATCGAAATTACCGGAACGGAACCTAACAAACCACTTTTGTGCTACACGTTCGTTTACAGTATCTGCCTATACTAAATTAATTTTTTCAGCCGCTTTGGCTGCTTTTTCGCCTTGATGTCCTTGCTCGTGACCATCTTTGACGAGCGCTCACAACGTACTAATCAGTCGAAAAACTGACAAAGACAAACTTTTAGCGCGAATAAACACGTTTTCAGCGCCGTATAGTATGACATGAAGCGACACGACGTGTACACTAGCACTATGGAAAATAACAACATCTCTTAGGTAAAAACCGAACGAACTTTTTACTTGACCTAATATGTATATACATATGAATTTGACCGCACGGGAATATGTTGAAATGACTGTATGAATGGATTTTGATTTGTTTACGTATTTTCAGGTACAGAAAATAACAGTTATTGCATAATCATTATGAAGGGTCGTTTACTCGTATATGTATATTTTGTTTTATTGAGGACTACACAAATATGTCATATTACATAAGCTTTTAAAAGTTGATTTATAATTTTCCTACCCAAAATAATCTTTATATTTTGATTTAAAATCTATCGCTTACAAAATAAGTTATTTGATAACAGTTATTTACTGGTCACAATAGTTGCACGAAGAGTTTTACTCCCCCCTTAAGCAATAAAAGTTAGAGGTAAGCTTTTTGTTTGGCCTCGACAAATAATACTCTCACGCAAGGTTATATTTTTTCATCAAAGCGAAACAGTTATGTGATGAGCGTTACTTTCAGATCACAAAGTCAGAATTAAAATTTGTGTGCTCTTAATTAACAGTTATAAGATTATTTTAACTTATCGCTCACTAAATACGCCCCTTTTTATGCACAGCATCGCTCAAAAATCCACATTTTTTTTACAACATTTCTGAACAGTGTCTCTGCGATGGAAGAATTGTTTTTTTTTTTGGATTTTTAGGCATATTTTGGGTATTTCATTACAAACTACGTTGTCTTTAATTGCAAATTTCACTAAAGTATTTCGTTGAGAAACAATGCAATATTTAATTATATTAAGTTTAAATAATAAAATTACAATAATTTCTTGCAAATTATTTTTAAACAAGAGCGATGGAATTTTATATTGACAAAGTGGTACTGGTGTGTTTTGCACATCAGCTGCTGAATGTTTTCCGATCTCCCAACATTAGAATGTGAGATGGGCGAACGCTCTCAGCTGCAATTTGGGTGATTTTGAGTGAATTTGCGGTTGAAAATTTCATCCGAACTATCTTGGCACAACTCTAAAAGATCTTTAGAACTCTCCAATCGTCGTTGCTTGTCCAACGGCTTGAGAATTTGCGGTACACAAAGCGCACTAATTCCTTTCATATTCAAATGTTCGTGCAAAATCTCTCCATCTCGTTCTTTGCTCATCTGTAATTCTTCTGTCTGCAGAGGTCTCTCTTAGCAGTTTTTACCATCGTATATAAAGGGGCGGAGTCCTGAAGAACCGATGACATCTCTTTGAAAAATTCTTTCAGCGTACTTCCTTGCTTACAAGAACTTTAATCATAGTGCGGTGCTCGAAATTGCTTTAATTTGCAGTTTCCGTTGACACAGTGTTGTTGCTTACTCCATAATCGAAATGAACCTAATAAAAAGAGTTGCTTTATTTATACTAATAATTCATATGAGTAATTAGTATTATTAGTAACGAAATGATGTATCATCTTTAACTGCCTTAGGCCGCAAGAAAGTCAGCCGTCCCTCGTACATATCATGTTTTAGTGACCATAAGCCAATTGTATCTACTTATAAACTGTAGAATCTGACGAAAACAGTGCGCAAAAAGAAGAAAAAAATTAATAATAAATGTTTAATTAGTACAATGATAAATTATTATATATACTATATAAATATAATTGGCGCTTTGTAACCGCTGAAGCGATTTTTTCGGACGAGTTCCTCCTCCAATTTATGGGTTTGCGTCTTGATGTTTTTCCAACAAATGGAGGGACCCACAGTTTATATTAAGCCGCCTCCTAACGGCTGATGGTTTTTTATGAGGAGCTTTATTTCATGTCAAAAATATACTCGGAGGGGTTGACAATCCCTGCCGAGGGGCTACCGCAAAGAGAAAATTTAACTTAATTTTTATTTAAATTAATTTTCAATAACTTTTGGAGTTTGGTCGCACCGGGATTTATCTAGTGCCTTCCGCATATTAGTACGTAATGCTCACCATTCGGCTACCGCGGCCGCCTAGATAGTTCGATTATTAGTTATAAAAAACTACGTTACTTATGAAAGAACCAATTTCAAATAATGTACAACTTACCATGCTCCTGACCATAATTTAAAGACGAAATAAAAGTTGAGCTTGGAGGCGGTGGGATTGGTATCGCTTTAAACGGCAAAGTTGAACTTTTTGTTCCAATAGACAATCCGTAGAGAAAAAATAGTTATTAAAACTCCTTGTACTTGCGGCTTTTGTTCCAAAATTTTCTTCTTCATTGTCGTGGAAATGGCTTACGCCGAATCAAAAATAGCGCGTCATTCGTTTCTTCTCTTCGCTGTTTGGCGCCAATTGGAAACACCAAAAGAAATCAGGTCATCCTCCGTATAACTTTTCCAACGGAATGGAGGTCTTCTTCTTCCTATGTTGCACCAATCATAGCTGTGCCCTATAACTGGATACCACAAAACCCTATCGGATTTCTAGTGGCTAAGGCCATGTTTCTAGTTTAAAAGCCAAAACAAACTTTGTCACTTGTAGGAACGGTATATACACTATTGCCCCAAGAGCAATACCTTGAGTAACACCAGCAGTTAGTGAACCCGCTGTTATTCTCTGGCTTATTGCTTCCTGCTACTTACGAGTTTTGTGGGTCTGCCCAATTCGTCTGCTAACATCCAATACTTAATTCTTTCCTACCCGCAGTGGCATTTTCATTTACTTTTACAGATAATCCCTTATTAGATAAATAGGACTGAAGGATATTGGGGAAGGTATTTGGTAACGATTATTCATTTTATGAATAAGTCCATGTCCTTCGCTAAAACCAAATTATATTTTTAAGCTTACGCAATACGCCACTTTTTAGAAAACTTTGCGAGTCGAGCAATCGGCAAGGTGGTTATTCACGAGTCGCTGATTTTAGATCAGTCACTCGATTTCCTTGTTAATTATCACTGCATACATATACATATAAGATAGTTGCCATTATTCTGATTCAAAAAGAAATTTCCACAGTTTCGAGTAAGAGCTTTTAGAAAACTTAGAAACGTTTTCTAATCTATCTACTAAGAAAACATTGCCGCCATCTTTTGTTCCAAATTCTGTATCTTGGTGCATAGCTCATCACTGCCACGTTGAAAATCACAAATCCATCTCATCAGTGCGTTTTCTATCGTCAGTGGTATTAACCATAAAATCTAAGTCCACTCCATACAACATAATGGGAATGATGAAGGGATTGCAGAGTGGTCTTTGCTCGTCTAGAAAGTGCTTTACTTTTGATATGGTTCCTCAATTCAAAGTAGCAACTGTTGACAGAAGTGACCCAGAATGATATTGTTATTAATGTTTATAATGGCTCATAGCAGGACTAAATCGTCTGCAACTTAAAAGCTATGACTGTGAACCATGACGTGGTATCGAAGAGGTGAAAGTGTTGTGTGTTTGTAGCTCTTATTTCTTAACAAACTCATTCGTCTTCTATTAATTTCTCCTGAATTGAGTTTGAAAAGTAAAATGATAAAGAATCAACTTGTTTGAATTCGTTCCAGAGAACAAGAATGCAAGTCTAGTAGAGAGCTGCTTGTGATTACAACTTTTCCTTGCTCGAATTCGATCAGCCTCTGCCCATTTGGGGATGTTTTATCGTGAACGATTTTGTTGATATCATCGGGGTCTGAGTCCTTCACTTACAATAAATCGAACACCAAACTTGCTCTTTTATATGCCCAATGTAATAAAAGTCATAAGATGAAGATAGGATGTGTTATAGTCCCGTCTATTGCATTTTCTGGATGGTGGTGGCGTCAGCTTTTAGCCTTACGAGTACACCAACCACATGAGCCAGGAGGCTTATCTTTCCCAATTGATCCGGAGGTGTGAATAGACCTTGTTTCTTATTAAACGATTATGCCGAGACTGTCACTGTTCGGAACCGAAACGACCATAAAGTGTGATAGCCGACTTTTATGGAATGCAATGGAAGAACACTACTTGGAAAATATGTGGTTTCATAAACTTTCGCTCTTTAGCACTTGCAAACCAACACTCGGCTAGTTATGGCTGATTTACCCCAATTCTTGCCAAAAAGTAATCGAATATTACCTCAAACGGATGCAAGCGATTTTAAGATGGTATAGAATTTCATATAAAAGGGAAATGTTTATTGGAAATATTACTTTTTGCACACTGCAATCCAGCTCGCTTGCTAAGCCTTGCAATGAAATACAGCCTTGGCCAAAAGTATTAGGCACCCTACTCACACACAAGTATTCTCAAATATGGCTATCAAAGCTACCACTTCTTTTTGTAAATGTCTTACATGGGTGTTTAACCGTTGATTCAACGAATAAATTGTGTAATAATAAAAGTCATAGAACTCTGGGTAAGCTAAACCTTAAAATTGTCATTTTTAAAAAATTCACAAAATATTTTTGCATTTAAAATTTGGAAGTGAAAGTGTAAATTACATTTAGTGAAAAGTTACCAATCTTATAAAAACAGTTCATATTTACCGAAATGCCTAAAAAAAGTGGAATTAGTTACGATGATAGAGTTAGAATTCAAGTTCTAAGTGAAGAAGGTAAGTCTCAGGTTGAGATTGCCAATTTGGTGGGATGTTCGCGGTGCGCGATCCAATGTGCTATCAGGCGATTTGTGGAGACGAAGTCCCACAATAATAAACCAAAAAGTGGAAGAAAGCGTCTAACCAGTAAACGAGAAGACCGAATACTTATACGTGAGTCTCTCAAGGATCGCAAAAGATCTTCTTCTGCCCTTGCAGCTGCCCTTTCATATGAATTTAAACCAGTTAGTGCTCGAACAGCTAGAACAAGACTTCTGGAAGCATGTTTTAAACGATATAAAGCACGAAAGGAGCCGTGGCTCTCAGAAAAGAATGGGAAAAATCATTTCACGGAAGAAGATTGATCGAAAGTTCTGTGGTCTGATGAATCAAGCTTCGAGGTAAGCTTAGTTAAGACCCTCTTAATACAAGTCTTATGAAAACATTATTTTTTCTTTTTTGGAACACCTGGTGTGACGCTCGTGAGGCGAAGGGTTGGGCAAGAATATCATAAAGATTGCGTGGTGCCCACTGTTAAGCATGGAGGAGGCAGTATTTTGATCTGAGGCTACATGGATGCTGATGGTGTCGGCGAAATATTCGCTTGCGAGGGTCGCATGGACAGTCAAAAGTACATAAATGAACTAGAAGCTGTTCTTCTGCCTTCGTTAACGGGCATTTTCGGCGATACTAATTTAGACGGGGTTCAATTTCAGCAAGACAATGCTCCTTGGCACGAATCAGCGACTACGATGCGTTGGTTTAGAGATAACAATATTGTTTTGTTAGATTGGCCTGCACAGTCTCCAGATCTTAGTCCCATTGAGCACATGTGGGCTATTTTAAAACGCAAGATTACGGAACACAGTATAACATCAAAAACCGCCTTAAAGAATGCCTTAATTAACGAGTGGTACGCTATAAGTGCAGACGAATGTGCAGAGCTTGTACGCAGCGTCTCTAAGATAATGCTGCCGTTATTAAATCAAAGGGTGGACCTACTAAATATTAATGTTATTATCACTAATTCATTGTATTTTCACTGTTTTTTACTAATAAAACTTCATTACTTCACTTGTTAAAACAAAAAATTCAGTAATTAGTGGGGTGCCTAATACTTTTGGCCAAAGCTGTATTTGGACTAAGTATCAGAGTGGATATTCGTGGCAGTAGTCAAGCTAATATTTTTCTATGAGTCATTAGTGTATTGGATGATGACGTAAAGGTGTTTAATGCTTAGCAAAGAATCTTATTATTAAGAATCATATTTACAACAGAGCTCAATCCGATTCTTCTCATGCCCCGGTGAGCCTTGCAGTTATGAATCAGTGGCAAATTGTACGAAAACAAATTAATGGGTCTTGAAGAATTTATATGTAACACTGTGTAAATGCTTTCCAGTGGTAGAATTGGAGCTGCCAACCCGTTTCCCCTATATGACAAAACTAATAAATAGGAAATTATAAATTAATAAATAAAATAATTTTTTTTTTAGATTCAGTTGGTATAAATTTACATTTATTTGTTCGCTATATGTACATATACATATGTACAAATGTTACTAAAATAATCTAAATTATTAAGTAGTTGGAATGAAATGAATGAAATAGGGTAAAAAAAATAAGTGGGTTCGTACAGCTCAATGGATTAAATAAATAACATAGATTATGACATTTCTAAAATTATACTGACTTATAATTTAATCCAAAGCACTGGAGCAAAAATAAAAATCTCATGTAAATAATTTGTATCAGTTGTGACGACGCTTTGAACGCACGACACGACAGTGCGACAACATCCAAAACTCCGCCGAAGAAACAATGACTGCAACAATATTAGGGCTGCTTCGGCTGTTCACTTAAAAGTTCTGCCAATGAAATGCTGAATTAAATTTATTTATTTGCTTAATGTTATAAAAATTTATTTCATTAAAGTTATTAAACGTATTTCATGCGAAATTTACAATTAAATTTAATAGTATAAAAACAACAACGAATAATATAAAAAAAAATCTTATTGCCGCCCTACAAGTAAGCTTCATAGCCCTATCTGGCAACACTGAATTCCATTTACGATAGAAATCTGGTTGCGTTTCTATTTGCATTTGTTATTTCATAAAAAATTGTCTCAGCTTTTTATTTGTGAATGCATAAAGAAACGAGAAGTCCTTTTTCGCTTAAAATTTTTCAATATGAGCGCTTGTACATATGTATATACGTGTATGTTAATAAGTATATACATGCTTCTAAAATGTTTAAAATAAATATATCAAATATGGATGAAGGGTATAATATGTACTGGCAATACATATTAGACAACAAATTTAAGTATGTTAAACAAGTGATTGAATGCATATATACAAAAAAAAAAAAAAAAACAAAAAAAAACAAATATTCATATACATATAATAATACTTAATCTAAGCAATACGTTTCTTCCGACTAGGAGATAATATCTTCAGCATTGTAACGACAGGTGCTTCGAATGACATTGACACCAAGAACGACAACAGATACGAGGCTACAACAAGTCCGAAAAACATGATGACCTGTATTTGTAAATATGTAAAAAGAAATTTTAAAAATTAGAATAGAAATAGGAATATACATAGGTATGTATAAATGAGTAAATGCAAAAAATGTCCAATGTCATTTGGCCCATTTTATACGTAAATATATATATTTTTAATACAAGTCAGAAAAACTGTATAGTTGATTCCTTTTTTTGGTAAATAAACAAAAATATATTTATTAAACAATCAACCCCATGAAAGAGAAAATATGTGTTAAATAAAAGGAATCTGCAAATGTCGCGGAAAAACCAATTCAAACACTTAATAGACATTCTATATACCTGTGATGTGAATATTGGTTTATAACACAACACTGTAATAATCTATTTCTTTAAATAATCCTACATAGTCTTTAGTGTTAATAAAATTTTTCTTTGCTTCTAATGTTTATGAGAGATTTACTTTTTAATAGTCAGTTGGTTTTCGATATGGCCCATATTTCGTTTTCTTTTTCGGGAATGAATATACATATACGAGGTGCAGGCCCAACGAGAGGGGGAGGGGGATCGGGGAATTTTCCCCCCGGGCCCGTAGATTGCAAGGGGGCCCGGTGTTTTCATTGTCGTATATAGAATAATTTGCTTCTAGAATATCTATGACGTAACTGACTACAGATTTTCATGGATTGCGATAAAAAAAAAATCAGTAATCTTGTTACTTCACATATGATGTATGTGATGCATGTTCTTATCTTACAGTCATTGCAGTAAGATTTAGTTTTGAATGAGAAAGATCAATTTTTTTGCTAGCGCCCAGCGATCATTTAGCGTACTTTCAAGAATAAAGAACTATTATATCATCGTTCTTGTTCAAGCCAATCTCGAGTCTCAGGACTGGCAACTTTATGTTTGGAATCTCAATTATAGCTAGAAAACTTGACTTCGGTATTATCATTGAGGAATTTGCATCAGCTAAAGCAAGGAAGGCATATTTTTTAGGGTTGCTACCTATTAAAATACTATTGTGATGCAAACTAAGGTAATAAAATTGTTTAAACAAAAATTGTTCCGATTACTCATTCATTTTCATTTTTATTCAAGTTCTATTCTATCTTAATCCCCAACTCGTTGATTAGCGGTGTAAGTACAAATAAACATATTTGTTAGATCATGAAATTAAGGTGTTGGGGGCCCGCATTTGGATTATCCCCGGGCCCCGATTTTCTCTCGGCGGCCCTGACGAGGTGTGATCAGAAAATAAGCGTTATTTTAAAATTTTTCAAAAAGTATTTATTTATTCATCAATAACTATCTCGCCCCCTTATCAGTAATTCCTCTCATAAAAAATACACTTATGCAAGCGGTTTTTCCAATCCTCGAAACACTACTGAAACACGTTTTTTGGTATCGCTGATAGCTCCTGCTTCAATTTTTCTTTTATCTCCTCAATCATAGTAAAATTTTTTCTTTTCATCGGTTTCTTCAGTTTTTGGTAGAAAAAAGTCAGCGTACGGTGTATACGGTGGTTGAGGCACGATAACGGTTTTGTTTTTAGCCAAAAACTCGCGCACAAGCATCGATGTGTGAGCTGAAGCGTTATCATGGTGCAAAATCCATGATTGTTTTTTCAGTAATTCCGTGCGTTTCTGACGAATTGCTTCGCGCAAACGGCGCATAACTTCTAGGAAGGATTCCTTTTTGACCGTACGACCTTCGACATCTTCTCGGCCTTCCTTAAACCCGTTATACCACAATTGAACTTGTGTTGTGCTCAAAGTAGACTCGCCAAACGCCGCAGTCAATATTTCAAATGTCCTTGCGCATTTAATTTGATTTTTTACACAAAACTTAATACAGTCTCTTTCCATTTTTTCGAATAGTAACAAATCGAAGAGCACACCAAAGCACGACTAACCTTTTTATCGTTAAAAAACAAACGGACAATCCGAAATTGCTGAAATTGCCAATATATATAACAGACATGTGTACCAACATAACAGAAACATACTCACACTACTCGTAAATATATATATATATATATATCTATATATATACATAAATTGTGATCGCTGAAGCGATTTTCGGCAAAGCTCATCCCTCCACTAGTCCTAATGTTTTTCGAACAAATGGAGGGACCTACAATTTATAATGAGCCGCCTTCGAACGGCTGATGGTTTTTATGAGGAGCTTTATTTCATGTCAGACATACAGTCGGAAGGGTTAACAATCCTTGCCGAGGGGGCGACCGCAAACAGAAAATTTAGCTTAATTTTTTATTTAAATTATTTTTCAATAACATTTGGACATTAGTCGTACCCGGAATGGTAATAGTAAAAATACCCGGTAGCCAAAAGTATGAATGTGGGATGTTGGAATTAGTATCAGGAGTATTCCAACATACAATATTGTGAAATAGAGAAAATCTAACACTATTGTATTGTATGTGTATTGACACAAGCTGAAATAAAGTCATCTTAGCGAATATAAGTAAAAATCGAAATCAAATTTAGAGTTTTTTTTTTTTGCTTAAAATAACGAATTATCAATCAAAATCCTTAACCCTACAAAATGAAAATATCAACTAAGAAAGTGTCCAAAAACCACATGGTCATTTAACTCCTCCCCCTTTTTTATATGCTTTCCTGTAAAACAGCAGCAGACATACCGAGCAATCCGTTTTCGTGTGAAAATCATAGAATTTTTTTACCCACCCTTGTAAATATATTTATACATGCTAATACATACATAAGTATGTGACAACATACCATATTATCACCGCCAAGGTGAAGTGGCGCATCAGTATTTAGCGCCACAGACCGTATGACAATGGGATGCACTAGATACGCACAGTAGGTGACTCGAGAGAAGGGATAGAGGCAAGGGGCCGAAAGTAATGTATTTATGTAGCCGCCATAGCCTGTAGAACAAGCAGTAATGATCCATGCCAAAGATAAAGCCCAGGCTGAGTGACTAAGTGAGCTGTATGCGGCTGCCATGAATTGTGATAAATCCGCACGGTATAATCCGAATATAAGTACAAATAAGTTGAGCATGGACAATATCCATAGCGTCACCACCGCCAGACGAGGCAAACGAATCTTGCAGTTAGTACGGAACAATATCCAACCAACCGTCATACCAATGAGATAAGGACCCAGACGTGTCCATGGTTTATCGTAGATTTTGTCAAAAAGCGCTAGAGGATCGTCAGTATCAGGTCTATGATTGTTTGTAAAAGCAATTATAGCCGTAGTGATCCAGGATGAAACCAGGAAAAATAATGTTGTGAATGCTGATATTTTGAAATGTCTTACACCAATAATTAATATGATGGCTCCTATCATATAAAATTGAGTGTCATTGGCCAGATACCAACTCCATAACATGCACTATAAGAAACGAAATAGAACGAAACGATTTTCTTCAATTAAATTCACAGTATCTATATAATTGTTAAATTAACTAATTTACCATTTGATCAACTGGAAACAGCGTATTGATGTAAAGCAAATTACGCCACCAATATTGTGGACAAGTCTCATGGTCCAGTGTCGGAGGATCAAATATGGAATAGGCAGCTAAATATTTCATGGTTACTTGAACGACTCCTAATACGAACATATATGGTGCCGTCAATCTAATTTCAAAAAAATATAAAGAAATTGTTTAAAAGACATTTCATGAGTCACTGCAAGTAGGATGAGTATAATATTAATTTACAAACCTCATAAAACGATAGGCTACAAGCCCAAAGAAGTGTGCGATTCCAGCAGTCAGTTCACTTGAACCCTTTGTGAGTTTATTTAGCTTTCCTTTGGCATTCGTTCGGAAATACAAATATGAAACCAATAATCCACTAATAAAAAAGAATGTATCCACACTGAAAGGTCCATTTGTAATAGCTTGAAAGAAAAAGTTCTTCTCCACCTCCTTACGCATTTCCATATTATCAGAGTATTTGAATACGACAATGCATGTGTGTCCGAGTATGACCCATGCCATTGAAAAAGCCCGAAGTCCATGTATGGAAGGTATTGTATCTGCTCCAACATTCCGATCGCAAATAGCATTAAAATTGGTAATGGCAGAAAATGATAGCAACAGTTCAGAGTATACTCCTAGTTTTTCTGGTTCGTGGAGGTGACCTTCTAGGTGTTCATCTGAAGTGCTTGCAGGTACCCCACTTATTTCATGTGGCATATTAAGTACCATATTCATTTCCTTGAGTGATTGTGTTATTGCCTCTTTCTTAAGCGATCCATGTGCCACAGAATCGCTATAATCAGAAGAGGCACAACCTATTCCAGACGACGTCTCACTGCTATTCATCATTTCTTTGTCTTGGCGAAGAAGGGCGGCTTTCAATCGTCGAGTTAAATAAATTTCGTACAACGTTCCGGCAAAGATAAGGATAAATACCAAAGATGTAGACACACTGCAAATAATAAATTGAATTAGAAAGCAAATACCTTTATTATTGAGTTCATAGCTATTTTCAGTCGCAAGAATAATTAACAAAATTTTCGGTTTGTTTTTAATGAGCGCTTCACAAATGTTTAAACAAACCGTTAGCTAAGGATTACTCATTGCTTCGGCCAAATCGAACTTTCAACCTTTTAAGAACGACGGTATGCTCAAAGATAACGATAATTTTAAAATTTCGCGGACAGGATATCCGGACTTCAATTTTTTTTAAATAAAGGTATACATTGACCTTGGGGTATGATAAAACTGTTAGCTGACTTTTTCTTTTTCAATTATCGTTATTCAAAAGAAATATATTAATAACGGTTAAAGATGAAAGTGTGTGAAATATTGTCAAAGTCTCATTTCGAGTCTATTGTGAGTAGACACTGCATGTAGTCAACGACGATGCAGAATTACTGGAACACGGGTTTATGGATATAACGTTGAAACTAAGGCTCAGTCATCTTACTTTGATCCATTATTTTTAACTCCCTCTTTTAACGGAAGCAGCCACGCTCATAAAACTTTTCAAAACTTAGTAGTGGCGTAGCGGCGTAGCGGTTAACAGTACGTCTTACTCTTCTAGCGAACCGTTTGATACCAAACGAGTGTACACCTACTGTCGCCGTGAGTTCCGATATCTCCAGACTGCTCTGATAGTGAACGAGGGCTAAACGAAATATCTCCTGTTGTCAAACAAACACTTAAACTCCAACGGCAGTGTTGACAGCCATAACTTCGAGTATCTTGGAACCAGTACCAACAGCAACAACAATTTCAGCCTGGAAATCCAGCGCAGAATCAATTTTGTCTACGGGTGCTACTTTTCGCTGATTAGGCAATCGAAAAGTCTCTCGACAAATAAAAACCAAACTCTTCAAGTCGCTCATAGTTTTTTCCTTCCTGCTATATGGACAATGACAACATCGGATAAGAATGACGACATCGACGTTAGGAGTTTTGGAGAGAAAGGTTTGGCATAAGATTTATGAATCTCTAGGAGTTTGGAACGACGAATACCGCCGCCGATGAACGATGAGCGACACTGACATAGTACAGCGAATCAAGAAACAACGGTATCCGGTTGAATAAGAATATACCAGCTTTGAAAGTTTTCGATGCAGTACCTGCCGGTGGAAGTAGAGGAAGAGGAAGACCTCCAGTTCTTTGAAAGGACCAGATAGAGAAGGACCTGGCTGTCCTTGGTATTTTCAATTGGCGCCAAACTGCGAAAAGAAGAAATTTATGGCGCAATTTTGTTAAATCGGCTATAATCGCGTGGGCGGTGTCTACGCCAGTAAAGAAGAGAAAGAGTAAACATGTTGTTGCTGTTTTTTTGTAGGAGCCAGCAAATCCCACCTATTGACCTAAACGGGGTTAGGTCGCCAAAGGGCAGCAAAGTTTTATCATCGATTTCAGATTGTTAGGGTATCCACATCTGGAAACCATGAAAGCTTCTCTTATACGAAACTCTACTAAAGTATTATGTAATCGACATAACGAAGTAAGAGATGAACCTTCGTCTTAAAATGGGAATCGAGGACGTGATCAGCCGCCTCAGAGAATAACTGCTTTCACGATAGGGAATAATGATGCTCCGAAACATGATTTTAAGTTTTGATGATTGTGGTCTGATGATAATATAGTATCGAACCGTTTAATATATGTATGTACAATATAAAATGTGTAACCCTCTTTGGATCTATGACTGAACCCATGTTTCATGTTGTTTGTATATACATACATAAATTTTAAAAATTAACCAATGCACATACATAAAAACTTGAATACGGAAATTTGTTCGTATATAAGGTATAGAAGGGAACTTTAACATGATAAGATTTAATATTTTAGTTTAGAAAAAACCTCAACTCACACTAAAACCCAAAAGGTTCGGTCATCGTATAGGTTAAACTTCCTTTTGCTCGGTGTACGGACGTCCAATATTTTCACAACTCGTGTTGCTGACGGTTGCTGTGTGACTTCGGCTAGAGTGTCAACATCTTTGGCGGAACAGTTCGATGGTAAGCAAACGCCAACGTAGATGGTTCTAGTCTAGAATAAAATATAAAAATACATTAAAAACTGGAAACGAACTTCAAGAATGACAGGAGCTTATACTTTAACTTAGTTACGTTTATAACATGATTTCCCGACAGACAATTAACTATTTATGTGCATATAAACAAATATATCATATATATATATATATCATATATATATATCATATATATATATCATATATATATATCATATATATATATATATATATATATATATATATATATATATATATATATATAATTGGCGCTTTGTAACCGCTGAAACGATTTTCCGTCGAACTCCTCCTACAATTTGTGGTTTTGGGTCTTGATGTTTTTCCAACAAATGGAGGGACCTATAGTTTATACTAAGTCGCCTCCGAACGGCTAATGGTTTTTTATGAGAGGCTTTATTTCATGTCAGAAATACACTTGGAGAGGTTGACATTCCCTGCAGGGCACGGTGATTTGAACCCGAGCCTTCCGAATGGCTTAAGCACAAAGTAAATTTACATGTAAACGTCACACAGTGGGGTAAATGGTGCTCAAAATGGAGATTAGTCTTCTAGTTACGGAAAAGTAATTTTTTTAGTTAATTTGTCATATAGAAATAAAAAAAAAATTAAAATAAAAAAATAATGCAATTATTATTTGAATGATTTTTTTTTATGTCATAAATATAGTGAACATCGGTTTTCAACAATTTTAATTTATTTCTAGTTCAAATTTTTTAAAATTAATATGTATAAGCTCTCTTTTTATATCACGATCAACTCTAAGGCTTCTTCCGATGAATTCTGCACATTTTTTGTTAGGGTAATTTTCTTTTGGTCGCTATAACGGGGTATAAAATTCCCTTGAATATGTCTTCATTTGCTTTTTCGCCCTGCATTTGCGAGAAATATTTTCTCTAAATGTCTTAAAATCTTTGCTTAGAGCTTCCTGTGCATCTCCTGATAATTGTCTGATTGGTAACAACGCGTAGGATATTATCTCTGGTCCATGGGTGAAATATTTTTAAATCGTTGGATTCAACGAAATATTTTCCTGTATTTAAAGCGTAGTTGTGAAACTTCTGTACGTCAATATCGTGTCCACTAGAAGTAACTACGAGTATTGTATGCATCTTTTTAAACAAATTTATATTAACTTTAGTAATCGCTGCCGGCTTCTCGGGATTTTGAAAGAAACGCCTGGAAGTATTGCCCTCATTAGGATTCCCAAATCCATGTTTCGGTTTTTCAACAATCGGACCAAATTTATACTTTTTGAATACGTGATTTTATTTTCCGAAACGAAGAGTTTCTCGCTTATTGCTCGAGCTTGCCACGTTTTTATGGTGTTACAATAGAAATTGCGCGACATGTCGGTTATCATGATTTCCTATATACCCTAAAACATAGGTAAGAACTTAACGCCATATGAATTAACTAACACAAAATCTAAGAAATAAAAACTTTATTTCAAAAAGTTATGCAATGATTTATTTCCGCCGTGCCTTGGTTCGCAGCACCGAGTTAACCATTGAGCAACAAAATTAATAACAAAACTTTTTTCTTGTTTTAAATTTATTTTGCAATTGCTGTATTTGTTGTTGTTCTTTCTGAAAAATAAGAAAATAACAATTTTTACTGGATTCTTCCAGTTAAAAAAATAAATAACTTCGAAAAATTAAAAAAAAACAATGTGTGCACGCAAAAAGAAATAAACTTGCAATTTTCAGAGTATATTGAAAGAAAACTGTACATTTTTGTATTTTTTTTATAACTTTTAGCTAGTGATGGAGGATGTTACCTACTTTACTTTTGTTGTCAAAAATTTATTTGTACCTTGAAATTTGATTCTTTGAATCTCCAAAACCCATCTCCCCAATGTACGTCGTTCGTGCCAACTTTCGCTTTTCGGCATTCTTCCATGTCTCCTTTCACGCGGCTATCCTTCAATCATTTTCTTAACCCACTTGGTTAGTCGAATTATCACTGACCACAGTGAAGTCAATAAAAAAAGCGCACAAATTTATAAAAAAGACAACATAACTTTTGTTTGGGACTACAAATCTATCAAATAATTTGAAAATATTCAAGATGAGACGCAAGATATTTTTTAGCTGCGGATGCTTCCATTGCTTTTTGATGAAACTTTCGACAAAGAAAGAATTGCTAGCAATTTATTTGAACATTTAACATTATATAGATATTAATATTTAATAGAATAACGACGATTTACGGCTTTTACCGATCATAAGCCCCTCACTTTTGCGTTAAATTCCAAAACCAATTTTAAAGTGTTGCAGTAAAGCGAAGCAAATGTTCTTGCAGAACAAAAATTCTAAACCTATATCTAGTCAAACGTTTTGAAACCTGAAATTAGTTTAAATTCTTGGTTTAGTTGTTAGTTGAAAAGTTTCTGCACTCTAAATGAGAAAATACTGTTTTTGGAACGAATTATAATTTTTATTCAATATTATTCCCTTAACTTCAATACACTCATACCAATGATCGTTCAATAATTTTATGCCATCCCCATAATTACTTCCCGGAAGCTCTGCAAAATACCTGTCTATGGCTGTAATAGCTTCTTCATTCGACGAAAAACGCTTTCCGCGAAGGAATTGTTTCAGGTTTCTGAAGTGGTAGTAACCGCTGGGAGCCAAATCTGGTCATTGTTGACACATCTTTGTCAGCAGGTACATTGTCTTGTCTGCAAACCAGGTCTTTTCTCACGAATTTTTTCGTTCATCTTGATCCAAAAGGTCCTTTGACATCCCAAAAAACTGATGCCGTGACCTTCTTTGTTGATCATTGTGACCTCACCTGCTTTGGAGGTGAACAACCAGTTTCAGTACGCTGTAAACGTTCTTGTTTAAATGAATGATCAAGGTGGTAGATCCGAATTTCGTCCATAATTATAAAACGGCGCAGGAAATCAGTTTTATTCGGCTTAAAACGCTCCAAATTATGCTGAGAGATTTGTTTTCGAGCCTGTTTAAGTTGAACTATTACCGTGTGCGACACTAATCTTCCAAACCGCTTTATGTATGTGATTCTCCATGTATAATACGAAGCACTCGTTCGTCTGAGATGCCTATGGCATTAGAAAACTCACGCTTAGTCCGACTTGGATCTTCACTAACAATGTTATGAACTTGCTCAATAATTTCCAGCCCAAAACTCAACGGTATATCTTTAGATATTGTAGGACCTTTGCGTGTTTCAAAAAGGTCATAGTTATATATTGACAATAGTCGATAAGTTCACTCGGGCTGGAATATATAGTTTAAAAGATATTTGTGCAATAACAGTTGTGAGTAAATAATCCTCTTACAATGGCACGACATCTTGTGAACCCATTAGAATTATTAGTAAATTTGATTCCAATTAAGCAAACGTCCTAAAAGTCTGCTGGCTTGAGGATGATAAGGTGTACATGACATTGCAGACTGTGTAAGCACATGTTAAGGTTCGGAATATGCTACGATGAAACTTGTCGCTTGTGTGAGCCAGTACCAGAAACACTGGTCTTTTGTTTGAATGTGAAGCTGCTGCAAGTAGAATACAAAAACACCTTGGAGTCATTCAGCCGGAGAATAGCCACATCAAATCAATCAGCCCCTCTAGCCTGATAGGTTTTATAAGGGAACATTAGGCCACTGGTCGCGGTCCTTACAAATCTATTTCTTTATCCCACAAATCTTCTGTCCATATTTGGTGGAAGTTCCGTCATGTTCTGGGGGTGTTAAGCTGCAGTTGGAGTGGGAAGCCTAAGCCCAAACACCGGAACTATTAATTCTATGAAACACATTGATATTTAAAAAACTAACCAGAACTCGACTGAAGATAAGCTGGGATTGGGGGACCGTTATCTATTTCAAAAGGATAATAATCCTCATATAAAAAATAAAATAAAAAATATACTTGACTTGACAGTCACAGCCCATTCGCAGCGTTATGGTCGTATAATAACCAATTTTTTTTGGCATGCAATTGAAGAACGCGACTTGGACAATATGTGGCCTTGGGACCTTGTACAATTGCTCACTTTATATAAAAACATCAATATTCGGAGCAAGAATAATAAATAGCAAAATGAATGGAATAAAATATGTCCAAATATTACAAAAAAAGTTGGCCAAATCCATGCGATGGCGATTAGAAGCAGTTATGGAACAAAGAGGATTTCCCACTAAATACTAATTAAGGATCTATGAATACGAATTTTCCGTCGGTGGTTTTATTTTTGCTTAATATTTATAGTTTTTCTAGAAAAAGTACTTATTTTTATACACATATACATAAATAAATAAATTTTACGAAATGACTTCCGAATTCGGAAGTAAAAATACTGGGGTGTATGAATACGAAGTTTACTGACATATTTGTTTTGGTATAATATATATATACATATGAAGTAAATAAAAGCATAATTACCATATATGTGGGAAAAGTTTCATTTAAGAAAAACTTTATAACGAAGAAACCGGGAATAAATGGTGGTTTTTCATTGTAGACTCCTGTAAAAATCTGCGTATGCGCTTTGGCAAATGGAAGACCAGAGTTGGTAGTTTTTCTTTCCTCATCGTAGTCTTCGTGATAGATAGATTCACAAAGCGCTAATGAACCCAGCCAATAGTTATTTCCATAAAAAAATCCTGATGTGTAATGACCGGAAGCATCGTCCACTGTGGAAAAAAAAAATTTTAAATTAGTTCGTTCGTCAAAATAAAAAAAATAAATATGTTTGTATGCACTATACTATTTGTATTGTATATACGTGTATGCCTGTTTTCAGGAAAGATGTACATCACTTTCCAGATCAATTTGTTTTAACTTATTTATTTAGCTATAGAGGTTAGATAAGTTGGTAACGTTCAGACTGACAGACCCTATAGCGTTAGTAGCTGTGAGCCTCGATATTTAGGGACTCCTGTTAGATTGGGCATTAGATTTCTTCTAATATAACCTTATAATCAGAACTGTAACATTCTCGGCCAAGCAACATTAGGCTTTTCTTAATTAGTTGAAATAGTATAATAAACTATTACCGTATAATACAATATTATGTAGAGCACAGCGGCTAACTGCAAGACTTTAGAATACTGGTCTTGGATCGGATTTTCTAGTATTCACCAGAAGTTGTCGATATTATCCATTGGAATTTTGATCACATTAATTATGTAAACGTTCTCACAGTAATATAGGTCAGGTAGAATGTATAGAAAAGAAAGAGTAAGTTCTTAAAAAAGTCTTCATTTTCAACTGGGCAAAAAAATATTAGCGGGGTCGCGGTGTATTTTTTTGTAGATATTCTTATAGAAATAATTATATTGGTGCTAGAAAATCCTTCCTTATAAGCTACTTCTAATATGCATTTGCTTCAATATAGCGAGCAGTAGTTTTTTACATGAATTTGGTTCTAGCAGACAACTTTATTATTTATATTTAATACTATACATTTTTTCACTTTACAAATTCTAGGTATATCACTATTAATATTAATTGCTATATATGTATGTATAATAGCTTTCCCAATTAGGAACCGAAGCAACGTCATTTGCCATACAAAATTTTATGAAGGAAGCAAATCATTTGTAGATGTGAATCATGATTAAATAAGGAATGGTTTGGATAAGTAAACAATTTTCTCGAACAATTATTGCCCATCCGCTTCCCCCACTAAGAAATAATTATACTTTTCTCTGAAAAAGTGAGAGATTTAATAGTCTTCATATTGGCGGCGACTTAATCTTTCCTGATTTGTCGTATAAAATAATGTAGGGTTATCCATTTCGTGTTTTCTCACAACAAGTAGAAGTACATTTCTTACTCGGGGGACTCGTAAATAATCAAAATAATCGCATTTGGGTCTCCGAGAATTCTCACATTAAAAAAATATAAAACTTACTGCCTGGTTCGCCCTTTCGTCCGAACCTTACTTCTTTGAAAACGACAACGGCGAGACTGACGCTGCCCATTCGCAGCGTTATGGTTGTATAATAACCGACTTTTTTTGGCCTGCAATTGAAGAGCACGACTTGGACAATAAGTGGTTTCAATAAGATGGTGCCACATGACACACAACAGTAGTTAATATGACTTTATTGGGAGAGAAATTTCCCGGTCGCGTAATCTTTTGTTTGTTGGACTTTTACTGCGGAGCTACGCAAAATACCGTGTTTATGCGGATAAAGCTTTAACTCTTGAGAACTTGAAAACCAACATTCGTCTGAACGGATCGAAGTTTGCAAACATTCGCAAGGATTTAATTTGAACGATAAAGTATTTCACATACATATAATGCGAGGGTTCAAACTTCATAATAAAAAAATAATTTCATGAAAAAATTAGTTTATATTTACAAAACCGCAAAATGGATAGCACTGTTATAATAAATATTATATTTGCAAAGTACAACGTTTTTTCCGTCCGTTTTTTCAGTGCACAACTTCACTTGGCTGACCTGAATGAGGCTTATCCTTGAGTGGAAAATCTTTTGAAAATAGTTCAAAAAATTGTCTACGTCGTCTGTATGAAAAATTACCGGTTTAAAGGGAAAAATGTCAAGAAAAAACATCTATTTTTTTAATAATGATACTTTCAAATACACCACATACGGCGTTACTAGAAACCAATCGTTGTGACATGTTTTGGAATAAGTGAAGAAGAAGAGAGAATAGTCGTAAAATTGGATTTTGGTTTTGGATTTTTCAGCAGAAAGTGAAATTTCTCGGGTTATGTAAAGTATTCTTGATCGTTTTTAACAAGAAATTTGTATATGATTTACATGATTAGATCTTGAAAAACGATAACGTTAAAAGGGCAATTTAAAAAATTTTAAAATTTTGCTGAATTTTGTAAATTAAAGTTTAAAGGAATATGAAATATGTCACTGCTAAATGTTATTACGCAGTAGAAAAGAAGTGGAACCTAAAACTTTATTGGATTTTTTACTTTTCTAATTTCATATGGTAATGTGCTTTGGGAGTGTGTTGAGTTGTTTGTATCTGATGAATATAGTTATGTATATCTATGTATATAGAATTATTGTAAGTTATTTATATTTGGCGTACTGGACAAAGGTCAACGTTTTTCATAGCACCACCAAAGCTATTCAGGGTAGTTTCTACTTCGCTCCACTTTCAATCATAGTCTGACATTCCATTGTGGTATCTAGACCCTGCCAAACCCGGTGTATCTGTAAAAAAACAAGTCAGCTATCCGACTTATTTGCTCTTGTTGAAGACATTCTACAATACAAAAACGTTTGATCTTACTTACGTTTATCAAAAATATGTATGTAAGTATATTTCAAAAAAAATCAAAATGGCTTTTGAGTATTTGCCATACGTTTCATCACAAAATGATTTGGTGTCGGACGCTTCATCAATGGATAAAAGTTTGTTTCGAGAAGTGCGTGATCAAATTTAATTGAAGAATTCGTTTACCAACTTGATAGCCAGCTAAAAGGCAAAATAATATTATCAATATCTACAGTTAATAATATAGCGATTCTTCGAAACAGGAATATCCAGGAGCCCGTCGTCCGCAAGCTGTTGTATCCCCCGCGTAATAGGCGTTATAAACCGTTCGATGTTAGAATTATTTTGAACAAACTGCGGCAAGATATTCTATCAATTTGTAAAATAGAGTTATTGTTATAACACAGTTCATTGTATTTGTACATAGATATGTATTATTTATCTTCAGATCTTGGCTGTAAATTCTAACTATCCAGGACCGCAACACGATTCTTTTAGATTGAGCTCCTCTATAGTACGAAGGGTCCTGCACCATAGTTTTGAAAGTAGAAACTATACTATATTTTTAATTGGTAAACTTTTAAATACACTACAACTCATTAATTAAAAAATGTCTATTATGCATTTTTTTGTCATTTCTTAGTAAGCTTTTTGCATATTTTAACGTTTTGTTAAACTGTGGTGCTAGCTTTCTGCAAGCGATGCAATTCGTAAGTTTGCGATTCGAAAAATCATATCGATAAAAGTTACTGAATTCCACTATGAATCAAGACATTCATTTCAAAACGCATTTGAACCTGTGAAATATTCAGTATTATGTCTTAAGAGTTTGAGAGCCACTGTGTGGTTGTCAGAACTGCTAAAATTGAAAATAATTTGATATTTGCCTGTGTGCCTTTATGGGCATACGTAAATATTTAGATAAAAGTATAAACGGAATAAGAATTTGGCATTAGTTGTTCCTCAACAGTCTTAAGAAAAGGCAGAAGTTTATTTATTTTATTTGCTCATTTCGATTTATTCCTTCGATTGGGTAGCGGGCTCTTACTGGCGCTATAATTTAAGACTTACGGTCTCAACAGTTAGATTATAATTATGCCATGAGTAATTAGTTTAGAATATTCTTTAACTGTTGCTCCAATTGCAGGGCAAAGAAATATTTACTATTTTGTTTACTTTTTAAAATAGAACGCCATGAAACTTTTAATCATCCATTTAAAGACATAAAGAAAGATATCATAAGAGATACGGTAATAAAACCATTTCTCAAACTGAAATTGAGGACTTTAGAAGGGTCATACACCAAGAAATTAGTTTAATAATTGAGCTTACATACATACATACATACATACATACATACCTACATACATGCATACACACATACATATGTATGTTGTTTACAAATTATGAATAGTAACGCTTACTGAACAAATCTCGCTGATGCGACCGCGACAGTGGCGTACATAAGTCATACAACCTTAACTTGACTGCAGCCTTGATTATTAATGTCAATGCATCTACCCACTAATCTATGTATGTAAAATTCAATAGCAAATGTTGTAATTATGTATTTTAAATCTGTAAAGTAGAAATAAAAACCAATTAAGCAAGGTCTAAATTCGGGTGAAACCAATGACAAGTTATCCGATTATTTCGGCTATACCTCAAAAAGAAGGGATCTTTGTCAAATAGTTTGGCAGATTAAAGCAAATGTACACTTATTCATCAAATTCAGATGAGTTACTTAACCTAGAGTGTCAACAAGTATTTCATTAGACGGACGGACAAACATATATGGTTAAATCGATATTTATTGCTATTTTATGAAGTCTGATTTACAATATACATATACACCTATAATTTTATATGTAAGCCTATATATCGCGCAATTTCATGCAACCGTTAGCTGGACAAGTCTAATATACCCTTGAAAGAAGATCATCGGAAGTAGTCACAGAGGCCATTAAAGTATTTTGTGGTACCTCGGTATACACTTACATACATATGTTTGTATGTGCACGAGTATGAGTACTTCACATAAGCTTACATAGTACATTTAAAAATATTTTTAATGCTCATATATGCTGCTGCTTCAGGGCAAGATTCAGCACAAGGTCGACTGCGCGAAAACACTTTGAAACGGGTTTAGTTGTATTTACGATCATTACATGCAAAACTATTACATACATACAGTTTTTGTTATGGCCACAATTTTGTTTGCAGCCGAAAGCTGTTGGTTACTTAATTCATTTACTCACACACATATATATGCATATATATGTATGTAAGTATGTAGGTTTTTATAAATGTTTACGTTATGTTGTCTGTTATTTACGAAGTTAATTTTTCTACCTCGCACGAACAAGAAATGGTGTGTAAGCTTGGTGGTATGAGTTACGAAAATTGTTTACCAATATGATAAA